TTTTTTCTCTTTGTATCTATCTTCCTAAGGACTGACACCCTCAGTGAGCGGGCACACGTGTCACATAGATAAAGAGCAATTATTTTTGCACATTGGCTAATACTTGGTTGATATGAAGGTCAAAGAATCTGTTGAAACAGTCGTATGGATTTTATGCCGGATATAACGGAACTGATGAAGACCCTCAGGTTGATAAATGCTTCCTCAAGTTTCTCAGGCTTTGCATCTCCTCGCAGACCCTTTTTCCTCCCAATTACTTTTAAGTATGATTCACTATATCATAATCAGTAAACTTCTCTGTCCAAGTTGATTTCATATAAGCCTTTTGTCATTTGTTGAAGTCCTCTGGACATATATCTTCCGTCCAAACGGTTCATTTCTCTTAAAGCCGGAAGGACAGGTAGTGTGCCCTCAAGATTTAGCTCAATAATACAGTCAAATTAAAAGGAAAGTAAATAATTAAATTTTACCCAAGAAGTTTCAGGTTCCTTTGACGGTTATGCATGGATCGGTAATGGATGAAGTTCACCAACAGATCAATCCGTGGATTTATCAGGTGGTTTGCTTTTGTTATTAGTTCTTCCATTGCTTGCTTCTCTTTTTTCGTTTTTGTATTTGTCTAATTCTATTTAACATCAAAAAATTTAATAACATGGTAAGAATATGTTCATGGATTAATAGCTTTGAGGAATCAGAAAATATATGGTGATTGGACTAGTAACAAATTCTTGAGCTGTAATATTAAGGTCTATTCTCGAGGCTTAGGAAAATTTTGCTTCAATAAATTTTGGGTTTATAAGCTAAACATACTCTTTTTAGTTCTACTATTCTTGTTGCTGTGGTGGTTGCGTGAATTTGAAGCACTAAGATTAGAGCTGATAATTGAGTCAAGCTACTCGGGCTCTGCTCAGATTCGAATCGTGTAGGACTTGACTTGAACTCGTATCATTTTTGAACAATTTTTTAGGCTCGTTTAGAAAAACTAGCCGACTTGAGTTTGCAAAGTTCGACTCGTTTGTATGTAAAATAGTTGAATTACTCGGGTTCAGCTTGAATTCAGCTCGTTTTGAGCTTGCTTTTGGCTCTACTTGTTTTCTAAATGAGCCGAGTTTGAACAATTTTTTAAACTCATTTAAAACAAAGAGCTCGTAGCCTCGATTCGATTATCAACCGTAGGATCTATACCTATTTTCAAAATCACTTTCAATGAGATAGCATTTGGATTTTTCATAGAAACTGTAAGGCTCCACTTTTTCATGGCATTTGAAGGAATTACAATAATCTTTCTGAAGAGGCAGTCACAACTGGGTGCCATTCACAGGGCAAATTTTATTAGGCAATTCCATTCACAAGTTTCTATTCAACCAATGAGCAATCTTGTGAGATATTGTCATTGAAAGGAGAGAAGCATTTCCAGGATGGAGTTCAGATATATTTTGTATTACCTAATTGCTTAGGTGAGTTGTTGGTGGTGATGCTATGTTTATTGTTTACGTAGATCATCCGACTTCACAAGGGGAAGGAGCATGTTGAAGCCGAGTTTGCTGTAAGCTTATTCGCTTTTACATTGAACCATAAACCCAAAAGATTTTGTTTTTTTGTTATAAAAGACTGCAGTCGGTCTTTCCAACTCTTATTCTGGTTTATATTTCATTTTTTCATTTTCTATTTTACTGTTCCATGTTGCTTAGTAAGGTGGCTGACGGTGATTATAGAGACTCACTGTGTTCAGTAGGACATATGTGGTATTTTATGGCATGTTTAGGTCAAATGTATTAACACTGTCCTTAATGTCAGATTGGACCTATCCCTGTTGGCGATGGAATTGGAAAAGAAATTGTCGCTTAAATCTCGACTGTTATGCAAACCAACAAGACATTCTACACTGATTCTAATGGCCGTGATTTTATCATAAAGGGTATGTTGCATTCCCTCCATTCTGCATTAGTACTAAATCTAGTTAATTTGGATATTTTCTTGATGCTCAGCAGTAGCACAATTAGCTGGGAATTTAAGCATGGGTTTTAAATGTCATCAGATTCGTGATTATAGACCAGATTGGGACCTGAAAGTGAACGAACCTGTAGCTGGAAATTATTACCCAGCATGTCAATTTTCTGAATTATTTGGTTATTGATCTCACCATTTAAATCTCTGAATGCTATTCTTGTGGATATATACTAATAAATTTTGCTTGCCAGCTGTTGGTTTTACACTTAGAACTGAGCTGAATTTTCTCATGGAAAATGGCTCAAGAATGTATGTCAATTATTTTTTTGAGTCCTTTAGCTGAGGAAAGTCTTTCTCCTGTGTATACACAACGGAAAAGAATATGATGGTTCTTTTTATATTTCTGGTTTGCCTTTGTTTTTCTGGTTTTCATTTTCTCTGTTCATTTCTAGAGTTACCTTATGTATACCTATTTCCGTCGCATGTGATTAAAACGTGATTGGAAAGTCCCATGTCAAAATATTTTTCCTTCGTTGACTTTACTTCAAATTTTTATTTTTCTTTTAGATAAATCTCGGAATTTACATGAGAGATAATAAAAGTGAACTCTCAGTTTTGGTGGATTGATCTATGGGAGGATCCAGGATCGTGGATGTACAAATAGAGCTAATGCTTCATAGGTATGTCCCCATATTAGCTGCAATTTCATTGAAATTTATAAATTTGTAGTATTGGCATGTTATCAGAAGCATTTTTTGGATACTTTTTATTTTATAGGAGATTACTGCGTGATGATTCTAGAGGTGTTTGCAGAGGCTCTAAATGAAACAGTCTGTATTCGTAACAAATGCACAGGCCTTACAGTAAGTACATTTAAAGAACTCATTATAGAACTTAAGTATGGTCAGTCCACATCTCTTTTTATTTGCCTTCAGTAGACAATGTGTGGAAGTTCTGCCTCAACTTAAAGTGATTCGATTGGATTCTTTAAAACCAAGCTCTTCCAGTAAAAGTCATTCTTCAACTTAAGCTTGACTGTTATAGAAGCTAAAAGAAACTGAATAGACATTATCACTTTTAATGAATCTAGCCAAGCACTAATTAAGTAACTTGTTGGCAGATCCAAGGAAAATACTATTACAGAATAGACCCACTCGGAGAGGGTGCTAAGTGGCGTCGCTCATTTGGCCAGGAGATATATTCTCCATTTCTGTTAGCCTTCGTTGTACAGGTAAAAGGGAAATGACCGATAAATCCTCTTGTAATTCCTTTGTTTGATGAGAACCTATTTATAGTCTCAATTATTGGTAAGCTGAAGATAATTGATTACCTACTGCAGGATGAAGATAACTGGATGATAATTGATTACCTACTGCAGGATGAAGATAACTGGATGAGTTCTCATGTACCCACTTTCTCAGGGATTGATGTTTCTTATAGTTTGCCGGACAACATTGCTATTATAACTCTTCAGGTATTTGGAGTTTTCTCCTTTTGAAAGGCAATGCTATCTAAAGTTCCATTACTTTTCTATTTTGGCAAGCAATAAGAAACGGTTTACTCTTAAGTTTTGAATCTGCTATGTTACAGATTTTAAAGCAATAACAATTCATGTTTCATGGGCTGGCTGATATTCTTTTGGTTCTTTTCTTCTTGCTTGTTAAATAAACTCTCTTTCCTGAATTATGCAGGAGCTGGATGACAGAAAGGTTCTCCTTCGATTAGCACATTTATACGAGGTTGTAATTTCGTTCTTTTTATATTCACGAATTTGAAGGAGTCATCTCTCAGACAGTGTACACTGTACAACATATGTCTGGGGAATCTCGAGTTGTGTTCACAAATCCACATAGGAATTTTATTTTCAAATCAGCATACTTCTGTTTTGTGCTTTAGCGATATCATGAGTTCTAGGTCGTATCTGGGTAATCAATTTTAGGGAAGTGTGCTGTAAATGTCTTGAATCAGTCCTTCCCTTGACAGTGGGTTTTAGTGAGACAGTATCCAGACTTCAAGTTAATTTTCTTATCCACTTTTGACAAATTCCCACTGGTTTCTAAATCTAGGGAAACTTTGTCAAGTTCCCTGCATATTGTTTGCCGCTTCATGAAATAGAATTCTTCTTTGGTCTTATCAGCCAGTTGTTTTCAATCTGATGCTAGCTGAAGTTTCTACCTTTCCATGTTTGGGGCAAATTTGTGTTGACATACTTCTGTTTTCTCTTTCGAAAAAAAAAAAAAATGACTGAGAATTGCTAATGCGTCAAAGGCATTCGAAAAATCTATACAGAGCACAAACTAGGAGTGGACAAGACTATTAAGTTTAGAAGATTAAGACAGGTTTAGAGAGAAATAGAGAGAGGTTAAAAACTTAACCTAGTGCTCATACATCACTTGTATTTATAGTTAACCTACAATAATAAGAATTACACATACACCCTCGTACTATTAACCATTTACATATACTATCCTATTATTCTTAACACTTCCCCTCAACCTGGATTATATATATCATATAATCCAAGCTTAGAACAACTAGCTATAAGACGTGTACAACTCAATGCTTCGGTAAACATATCTGCAAGCTGATCTTCAGATTTCACAAATAGAGTTGTAATCTTCTTAACTACTATCTTGTCCCAAATAAAGTGACAATCAACCTCAATATGTTTGGTTCTCTCGTGAAACACAAGATTAGCTGCAATATGGATACCTGCTGGTTATCACAGAACAACTGTAAAGGAAGTTGAATTGAAAATTTAATTTCCTGGAGGAAGTGTAGTAGCCAAGTCAACTCACTCGTCGTATGTGTCATTGCCTTATACTCAGCTTCAGCACTGGATCTTGCTACCAGGGTTGTTTTTTACTTTTCCATGAAACAACATTACCTCCTAAGAAAGTACAATAACCAGTGGTTGATCTCCGATCAGAAGGAGAGTCAGCCCAATCTGCATCTGAGAAACCTTTTACCCTAAGATGTCCATTAGCTCGATAAAACAGTCCAAGTCTAGGAGCTCGTTTGAGATATCGCAAAATACGAGTTACTGCCTCCCAATGTGATACTCTAGGACATTCCATGAACTGACTTATTATACTGACTACATAAGAAATATCTGGTCGAGTAATAGTGAGATAATTAAGCTTCCCAACCAATCTGCGATACCTACCCGGATTCTCAAACAATGCACCATCATCCATCAATAATTTCTGATTCGGATCCATAGGAACATCAATTGGTCTACCAAGTAGCAAACCTGCTTCCTTAAGCATGTCAAGTACATATTTCCTCTAGGATAAACAGATACCCTGTTTAGATCGAGCCACCTCAATACCCAAGAAATACCTGCGTTTTCTCAAATCCTTAGTATGAAATCGATCCTGTAAGAATATTTTTAACTTGAAAATTCTCTCAGAATCATTTCCAGTAATCACAATATCATCTACATAGACCACCAATAGGACATATCCAACATCTGTTTGTGTATGAAACACAGAATGATCTGTCTGACATCGAAGAAGACCAAACTCTAAGACTGCATCTAAAAACTTATCAAACCATGCCCTCGGTGACTGCTTTAAACCATACAAAGATTTCTTTAATCGACATACACTTTTACCATACTCCCCCTGAGCAGTAAACCCAGGTGGCTGCTCCATGTATACCCCTTCAATCAAGTCACCATGTAGGAAGACATTCTTGATGTCTAACTGAAACAAGGGCCAATCAAAATTAACAACCAAAGAGATCAAGATACGAACAGAGGAAATTTTGGCAACAGGAGAAAAGGTCTCCTCATAATCAACACCATAAGTCTGAGTAAAGTCCTTCGCAACAAGTCGGGCTTTGAGACGCTCCATAGAATCATCTGGATAAAATTTAACAGTATACACCCAACGACAGCCAACAGTCCGTTTACCAGGGGGTAAAGGAACGAGATCCCAAGTCCCATTATGATGTAAAGCATTCATCTCCTCTTCCATAGCTTTCCTCCAACCCGCATCAGATAATGCATCTTGTAAATGCTTAGGAATAGATATAGCAGATAATTGAGAAGTAAAACAGGAGAAGACAGGAGATAAGGCATCATATGAAACAAAATGAGAAATGAGATGATTAGTAACACACGAACGAGTACCTTTGCGAAAAGCAATAGGTAAAGAGTTGAAATTACCTGATGTACCAAGATCAGAAGGCGGCAAGAAAGACGATACGGACACCTCAGTCGATAGGCAAGGACGGCGAGAGTAAACAAGAAGAGGTAAAGTAGATGGTAACATAGTGGGCAGCGGAATGTTTGAAGACGAGGAAAGAGATGGTGGTACAAGAGATGATTCAAAATCCAGATCCAAAGGCTGAGAAGGTGCTGAAAAGTATGGAATAGATTCTTCAAACGTGACATCAGCACTAGTAAAGTATCGGTGCAGAGAAGGACTGTAGCAATGATACCCCTTCTGCGTGCGGGAGTAACCAAAAAAGACACATTTGGTAGCTCGAGGGTCAAGTTTATCAAACCCAGGACCCAAATTGTGAACATAACTGACACATTCAAAAATCTTAGGACTAAGGGAAAATAAGGACTTATTAGGAAAAAAGACAGAATATGGACTTTGCTCGTTTAACATAAAAGAGGGCATACGATTAATAAGATGACAAGCAGTAAGAACAACATCACTCCAAAAATATCAGGGAATATTTATCTGGAATAACAGGGCACGGGTGACTTCCAACAAATGATGGTTTTTGCGTTCAGCAATACCATTTTATAGAGAGGTGTAAGCACAAGAAATCTGATGAATAATACCAGTGTTACTCAGATAAGCTGAAAAAGGATCAAATTTATATTCCCGAGCATTATTAGAATGTAAAGTACGTATACGAAAACCAAACTGAGTTTTTATTTTCTTTCGAAAAATCTCAAATATAGAGAATAATTTAGATCGAGCTTTCATAAAAAATAACCAAGTCACACGAGAATAGTCATCCACAAATGTCACAAAATAAGGATATTTATTAGATGAAATATTTTTTATTGGACCCCATACATCAGAATAGACTAATTCAAATGAACTAGACACACGATTATTAACTCTAGACTGAAATGACACACGGTGATGCTTACAAAGTTAACAAGCAGGACAAAAACGACACATAACTAAGATAGGGAACTTGGCGCTTCAAATTCTGGAGAGAGGGATGTCCTAGACGACAATGTCATTGAAAAGGAGACCACGAGGTCTCTAGAGCCTGGGTAGGTGAATCAAAGTCAAGGTAATATAGGCCACCAGCTTCATGTCCCGTACCAATCTTCCTCTTCGTCTTGAGATCCTGAAAGACACAATAAGAGGGTTAAAAGGTTACAAAACAATTGAGAGAACGGGTAATCTTGCTAATGGAAAGTAAACTAAAAGAAAACTGAAGAACAAATAACACGGAAGATAGGGACATATCAAGACTTAAGTGAGTAGTCCCCAGACCTGAAACTTTAGAACAAGTACCATTAGTAAGAGTAACACTACGTGTGAAAGTAGCAGACTGATAAGTGGAAAAAACATCAGACGCACCAGTCATGTGGTCAGAGGCGCCAGAATCTATGATCTAAGGACTGCGAGTGGAGGACAATAAACAAGTGGAAGCAATATCTGACTGGGCAAAAGTAGCAGTCGAAGGAGATGGAACAGGTTGTTGCTGGGACAAGAACTGAGCATACTCTTCTCGTGTAATAGTAACCGACCTAGTATCTAGTAGAGCTGACCGAGGTATGGAAGCCGCAACAGAGGTTTCATCCTGAATAGAAACCTGATTGGCAGTACCAGAAGGTTTTCCATGTAAATTCCAACAGAAATTCATAGTGTGCCCTCTACGACCACAGTGAGTACAGGAACGTGGTCTACTACGGCCTCCACGACCACTCGTACGACCTCCTCAACCACCACGACCACCACGATCACCATGACCACCACGACCACCTCGATGACCATCACAATGACTGCTAGGAACCATAAGAGTTGAGCGATCAGTGGAAACACCATGATTGATACCTGAAGTAGACAAAGTAGCACGCTGTGTACGAGAGAAAACCTCAAGTAGTGAAGGAAGAGTAGAACCACCCAAAATCTGAGAACGAATACCCTCATATTCAGGTTTCAAACCTATCAAAAACCTAACAACATTCATGTCCTCATGTTGTTTTTGCCAAACTGCTGCATCAGTAGTAAATAGATGGTAGGTCACAGACTCCTCGAACGTGAGAGTAATAATCTTCAATGCTCAGATTACTCTGTTCTAGCTGGAAATACTCCTTGCACACCTCATAAGCTCGGGTAAAATTACCCGTACTAGAATACATAGTAGCCAAGTGGTCCCATATCTCCTTGACAGTGTCAAGGTAGAGCAAAGTAGAACTAATACTAGGTTTAATGTTATTCAGTAGTAAAGAAATAATTTGAGCATCCTCTTGTTCCCACTGATCATACCCAGGAATGTCTTCCTTAGGTTTAGGATTCACCAAATATTTTTTAAGTCCTTTGCCTTGAAGAAAGATTTGAACAGATTGAGACCATAAAGTGTAATTAGTCCAATTGAATTTGACAGAGGTTATGAGACCATTAATAAGAGTCGGAGAAGACAAAGATGGAGTAAGGGACCTGGTATCTTGCTTGGGTTCCATAATAGTGCAACAAATAGCAAACAAGAAATGAACCGGACTGCTTGAGTGCTAAACTAGAGGAAAAAGGGACTGCTGGACTGAAGAACCGGGCTGAACCGGTGTAGAAAATAGGTGAACTGGATTGAACCGATGTAAAAAATGGGTGAATCGGACTGCAGAAGTCTTCTGGACCGCTGAATCGGATTGTAGAACCACACTGAACCAATGAACCGGAGCAGCAACTGAACTGGACCACTAGACCAGAGCTAAAGACTGAAGAATCGGTCTGAACCGGGATGAAATTACCTGAACCAGGATGAAATTACCTGAACCAGCTGAGTCTAGATCAAACCAGGGTTGAATTGGGTCTGAGCCGGACTTGCACCGGTCTGGTCTAAACCAGACTTGATCCGAACGAAGTTTCCTAGGTCTAGGATCTGGATCCGGGTCTGGGTCTAGATTTGGGTCTAGATCTGGATCTCCTGCTGATCTGGGCTTAAGGAGAGGTACTGCACCCGAAACCCGTTACCCAAAACCCGAAACCTCACTGGGTCTTCTTCTTCTTCACTAAGTTAGGGTTTCAACAGAAAACCCTAATTTTGCACCAAGGTCGGCAATGCACTAAGGTCGGCTATACTAGCGCCGACTGCTCAACCACAACTCACACACCAGTTACAGCACCACCACAAAGCAAAAGGCACAACACCACCACGAAGCATGGCATAGCACCACCACGAAGCAAGGCACCACCACAGTCGACTGTACCAACGTCGACCACCACGACAGCAATAGTATCCACCACAATCGACTATACCAACGTCGACCACCACGATGGGTTCAACAAATAGTACTACCCAAAATTTATTCAGAACATACATATATGTTTATGATCTTAATGACTCTGATACCATGTTAAGTTTAGAAGACTAACACAGTTTTAGAGAGAAATAGAGAGAGGTTAAAAACTTAACCTACCTCTCATACATCACTTGCATTTATAGTTAACCTATAATAATAAGAATTACACATACACCCTCTTACTATTAACTATTTACATATACTACCCTATTATTCTTAACAAAGACAAACGTGGTTGTTTCCTCCTTTAACGTGTGGCTATGCTTTTGAAATAGCCTAAGACTGATTTTCAAGATGTGGATTTCTTTTTTGGTAGACTGGTGGTGGAGCTCAACCAATATCACAAAAAAATAGTGCTGCACTGGATTCAGAGTTGGGGGGTTTTTTTTTTGTTGTTTGGGGGGGGGGGGGGGTGGCTTCCCAATTTTTTCCTTTTCTATTTGTTGAACTCAACAAAACCTAATTTCTTACCGGAAAGATGTTCCTTCATACTTCAGTTGCTTTATTTGTTCAAAGCTGTTCCTTCATTCTTCAGTTGCTTTATTTTTTGAAATATGCAAAGATTGAAGAGGACAAAGATCTTTCTGCAATGACAAACGTGGAACTGAAAAGGCCGTTCCCAGGCAAGAAGGCAGAAACAATGAATTCATGACCTACCTAAAAAATCTCAGCAAAATATAATATGGTTCTATCGTTTGATGTTCTCCTATCTTATATTAGATCCTCGGAGTGACCGAGATGAGCTTATCTACCAATCAAGAAAGGTCAGTGACAGTGATGGAGAAAAAGAGATTGGTGTGGAAAGTAGAAGGCTCTTCTGGAGAATCCAAGGTGGTTAGGGGAGGAGCTGTTGATCCTGTAGAGCTGCTAGTGGAACTTGCTCCCATGGAGATCCGCATTTTTGTCGTTGACTTATTGTCTCACCCATGGTGTTTGATGCCTGAAAGATTGGGGGCATTCGGCATTGGACGAGGATCATAGCAAATTTTGAGAAGTCATCATGCCGCTGGATAATTGTATTTGAAGCATTCTGTGTAGTTCAATGAATAACCTCCTGGTTATAAATTCTCCTGCCTTGCATCGTGTTTTGTGCAAAACAAATTACCTTGTATAATAATAATTTCATTATTTCCTATTCGTTTCTTGATAGATAGATGAGCTTGGTAGAATGGAATTAAGATTTTGTATCCGAAATTGTAGACAATATTTTGACAATTTGAATTGATCTTCCTCCAATTTCATTTCCAATCTCATTCAGATATGCTGTTGAATCTAACTAACAGGAACACTGCGAGGGCGTTGACTATTATGAGGAGGATGGTAACAGACCAGTTCACTAGTTTTACAAGTTTGGTGTACTAAAGTAGAATTGCTTTCAATTATGAGGAAATGGAATACTAATAAATGGCACCAGAGATTCTTAATTGCAGCAGCCTCTCCTATAGTTTTGAGCCTCTTGTACAATTTTTAATATTCAGTTTTCAGTATTATCAAACACCATCTTAATCAAAAATTTAATTCAATACAATTATTGGATTACTAGAATTTTAGTGTTAGATGGAGATTACCTTTAATCCAATGGGTATATTATATTAGATTTTCAAATTAAGTGTAAATAACATTTTCCTATTTAATGATGTGAAAAATCATGAAGAGATGTTGAACTCGCCATTTAATAGGCTTCAAACCCAAAAAAATAAAAATAAAAAAGAAAAAAGAAAAGACAAGTCTAGACTGGGATCAAAATTGGTAAACAAATGATGTATCATTTGTATGATTTTGTTCCTACTTGTACTTTCATTCATTTAAAATTTAAATTATCGATATTTGTTTTTTCTATTTTTTGGTGAGTCTAATATTGCATCGCAAAAACATTTAATGGGCTTATGCATCAGATCAAACATAATCACTAACTTAAAACTACAAGAAAATATTGCAAATCCGAAAAATAAAACTTGTACAAAGCTAGGCTTGCCTCGCCTTGGCACAAAGGCTATAATAGAAGGCACATAAATGAACAACCAAAAGATCAGGGGGTGTTTGAACAATTTGACGTGGCATTGATTTTTGGATTCCGTCGAGATATTCGGATACCCCTAGCCTACCTACTCCCTAGCGAAGAAGAGCGCAGAAGAGAATGCTTAATATATGAATTCCCACGAGAGTTGTAAAGCTAACGACGAGCGAACCAACGAACCTTCCCCACAGTTATTTCGGAAAATTTCATGTCCATCTTGCCCTCGCAGAATCTAGCTTCAACGTCGTCTTCTTCGTCTCAGGTCGCCTCTCAACACCATAGTTCAGATCATGGATTCGTCTTCCTCCAATCCCAACCAGAACTCTCTCTTTCCCACCAAACTCAGACCTTTGGATCTCTTCGAATCTCCGTCTCCGTCACGACGTCCGACAATATCTCAGGTAGGATTTCTATTCTGTATGTTCCCTAAGATTTGCAAATAGTGAGTCGGTTTGTTTAGTGAAACGAGAAACCCTAGATTTTTTGACGGAAGTATTTGTAATTTGTTGGGAGCAGCTTATTTGGAACTTTTATTTCTTTAGTTTTCTTGTCCGTTAGGCGACTAAATCTGCGATTGCAGAGTGAAATTAGTGGTTGAGATTCGCAACTGTAAGATGGCTTTGGTTGGTAAATGAAGAACTCTAGTTGAAGCTTGAAAGCTCTTTTTGTATTTATTTCCTTTTTGATTTGATCGTTATGAGTTTGTGTGAGGGGATATGATCTGCATATTGGTGCTTGAAATACTTAGTTATTGTATCGTGATTCCTTCCAGGAACAATGGCTCAGGCTACAGATGATTCTGTTGGATCTTCCAAAGAGGTATTATTTGCTGACCTCTTCCTATGTCAATGAATGCAGTTTTTCCTTTTTCTTTTCACAATACCCATTATTGATTGAATTGGACAAGTTGCTGTTGGACTGTGACATTTTTGTTCTTTGTAGACTAAGTATGATGCCTTTTTTCATAACTCTAGGTGAATGAATCAGGGAGACAAAATGGCAAGGAAAGTTTGACTCACCCAAACGATGGTACAAATTCTCTCTGTGAGGATGTTGGTCATGCTGGGGCTGCATCTGCTCAACACAGAAGGAAATCGGGCAGGACCATTGCTCTTCCACGTGGTCAACTGACTGCTGGGTCTACCAGTTATAAAGGGAGCACTGCACCTGTTGCAGGAAGAAAAAACCAGATGGTTAATGGTAACCACTTACTGAACTTTAATTATGATCCTATTTCTCGTCCACAGCCAAGGGCACCTCCTCCAAGAAGACAGCTGAAGAGAAAGCCTTACAACAAAGATTTGTTCCTTCAAGCAAATTACAAATTTGTTGTTTTAGATTCAGGAGACTATGCTCCTGAGTTGATGGATCCGGATAAAATGTTACAGTGGGAGGATATCATATGTGTGAGGTATTCCACTCCATTTGCTGTACAATGTCCAATATGTCTAGAATCTCCACTGTGTCCCCAGATTACATCTTGTGGTCATATCTTTTGTTTCCCATGCATTCTGCGGTACTTTCTGATGGATAAAGATAATCATAAAGATGAATGCTGGAAGAAGTGCCCTTTATGTTTCATGATGATATCGTCAAAGGATTTGTACACCATTTACGTCGAGAATGTTAGGCAGCACTGTGTGGGTGATCCTGTAGAGTTTATGCTTCTAACCCGTCAAAAAGATTCATTCACATTGTCTCTGAAAAATAACCAAAGGATAGATGCAAATGAGGAAGTCCATGATTCGTTTTCCAAGTTCACTTTTACATCAGATGTGGACTTGTCAGTTAGGGAAGCAATGTCAGATCTTGATAGTTGGTTAGCCAGAGCAGATTCAGGGCTTGTTGATGACCTGGAGAAACTGCCATATATCTGTGTTGCGATGGAGCACCTGGAACAGAGGAAGAAGTATTGGAATGAGCACCAGATTGCTAGCGGCAATAAGGCTAGTAAATATAGTGATTGTCATACAAGTTCTTATGGATCTCCACCAACTGCAAATGCTATTAATACTGATCAAGGAGCATGTGAGTTTGTATGGGGAAGTCTATCTACTAGTGCTGATGATAAATCAAAGTGGTTGGAAAGCCCAGCTCCAGCTAAGAGAGATGGAGAGCCTTCTTTGGATCTAACTGCTGATGTGGTTGAATCCTTGGAAGACCAAGGTGGATCTATATCGGCTTCATATTCTGGTATGAAGAGTATGAAGAGACACTCTAATGGCTCTTGGCATAGGAAGGACAAAGACTCATACGACTTCTACCAGGTGATTTGCTACAAGTTATCTATATTTTTTCATGATTTAGGTAAGACAGAGACGGAATCTTACACATCCAGGAACTATCATTCAACTGTGGCATTCAAAAAATTAACATTCTATTTAAATTAAAAGTTAGGCTCTATTTTTTTTTGATGATACATGCAAATTTTGAACATACTTTACCTAACATCATATTGCAGTCCCAAGAGCCAAGAAAACCAACAAGCCCAAGTCCAAGCACGACCTTCAGACTGACTTAGGCTCTATTGCTATGTATATGGAATGCACTAATATTTTTGAATGATAGTATTTTTGACTGACAAATTAGATGCATATGTATGCTAGTCTTTATAAATATGTGTGCTTGATGCATGAAGGTATGGTTAGTTGTTGGTCATAAGTAAAATCGAAACAATTCAGTCATGAATCAGAAAGTATTTAATTTATTAGTCTGGGCAAACAAGAGGATTTGACAACTGCTGAGCTCTGTGAAAATTGTCAAATTAAGGAGTCTCGCTGTATGTGGCTTTATCAACATTTTGTCGAAGGCAGAAATATCGCTGGATAAGGAGTATCAGTGGCTGGCATCCATTATGACATGTTAACTATCATATTTTATTGTGTTGCCCTAAGAAGTACAGTTGAAAGTATGGATGCGATAAACTGGACACGGACATGCCAACGTGACAAATATAAAAAAAATTAGGATGCTGATAGTTAATACCATAGACCAATTATCACTTCATGAGTTAATAGTATTTATCTTCTTTAACATGAAATCTTTAATTGCAATTGTGAACAACTGACCATATGGTATAGATAGAGGCCAATGAGCATCCACAATTGAAATGATCCTTTCTTCCGGCATAGCCCTCTGCCCCTTTTGGTAAAATCTTTATGTATCTTCCTTTTGCTTTAGATGGAGAAAAAACAAAGTATCATGTTTTTTATGCACCTCTGTTGTTTGTGTGCTACAAGATTGTGACACCTGACTTCTAAAATTGGTTAATCAAATATCATCGTGTGTCCAAGAAGGGTTGAACACATGGCCAAGATTAAGGTTGTGTTATCTTAGTGTGGACACAGCCAAAAGAGTGTTGGAGATGTCCAAGAGTGCCTAAAATGTTTTGGTGTCTGACAAGTGCTTGACATGGAGACAGTGCGTTGCTACTTGCTAGAAGTGTCCATGCTTCTTAGGTGTCATCCTAAGCTGTTGATTGTATGTGACCTGTCATTGCCTTATCAGAAGCTACTTTGGTATATTTCCATTGCTTATGTGTATGGTAGTGCATAATGGCATACTTCCCACTATTGTCAATGCTCTGCTTGTTTGCCTATTTCAGGCAGTTGATGGTCAGCACCTCATCCTTCATCCATTAAATGTGAAGTGTCTTCTGCAGCACTATGGGAGCTATGACAGGCTTCCATGCAGGTTTGGGAAAAACTCTTTATATATTATGTAATATATCTGTTATGTTTTGACCAGATAGAAGAAAGGGACTTGCTTGCATGCATATACTTGTCCTGTGCAACTGTGCATCGTAGAATCCTATGATTTATTGTGGTTTTTTTGGTACTACTACTTCGGCCAATCCCAATCTCAAATAAAACAAAGCTCTCTTCCTCATTTCTTGGTTGTGGAGCTTTAGTTCGGGTTGGCTGGTTTTCATGGCATGAAGAACCCGGATTCAACAAAAGAAGAAAAAGCATAACTGTGAGGCTTAACAGATATAGAAAATGGGATCCCACTGTTCGCCCTCCATACAAAACTATTTGCCTGTCCTCTTTCTTACTAGGACTCCTAATTAGCATCTAAACGATCAATTCAATTTGAGGAAGGCTTACACAAACCAAATCAATGGAAAAAAAAAATTTCGACAGGACTGAAAGAACCAAGTTCATTCCACAGAGGGGATTGTTGATTCCCAATATCATGCGCCTTCAGTCTGACATTAATGAGGGAGTAGTATTATCGTGATTTTTAGGGTGTTAAAAGTGGTATTGTTTTTTTATGCAACTCACCGGGTAATCTGGTATGCTTGTGTATGGTTTGGAGCAAGGGATCATATGCTACCTTGCCCTTTTTGGCATTCGTTTCACCTTGTTGCTCTGAGTTTTGAATGTCATGATAAACTGACATTTGTCCAAGATAAGAAGGTGCATTGTTGGTTGTGAATTTATTTCTGAAAGTACTCTTCTTGACTGATCGTTAACCGGAGAGAATATTCTGCTGTGATCTTTTATACTAGCCTGCAGTTCTTTATTAGGACTTATGGACTTGCAGAATCAAGGGAAAGATTTTACAGTTGGAGACGGTGACACAATCAGAGGCCATGAGGAGGCGCTATCGTCACCTTAGCCATTTTTCTTTAACAACAACATTTCAGGTGCCAATCAAAAAAGTAACTTGTGATATGTAACAATGTTTGTTTGTAACAGAAAAGCATTTGTTTCCCTTTTTTTTTTCAGCTATGTGAAATTGATCTCACAGAGATATTGCCTCCTGAAGCGCTATCCCCATTTATGGATGAAATTAAGAATCGGGACAAGCAAAGGAAGCGACTTGCTAGGAAGGTATAGCCAACTATTCTTCTTATCTGGTTTACAGTTCGTCTTCTCAATGAATTATTAATTTATCTGCAATTTGTCCTTTTGAAATTTTGTGTGATTGCACGGCGTAGTCTTTCATTTCATTTTAACTAACCACCAGTCTATCTGTCACGGTGAGATAATTAACTTACATACTTCTAAACAGAAAATGTGATTACCCGTGGCCCAATAATTGCCTTTCAAGCTGACCTTGTTAGTTTTTATTGATTTCAAGTAATAAAACTGACTGGATCAATCCACGATTTAACGGATTGATCTGCAAAACGACAACCATTACGTGTCTAACCAGTCGGTTCTTAAAAACAGCTCCCCCATCCTCCCTGTGTTTCAAGTATGTTGTTCTTCATTGTTGCAAAACTCATTAAATTTCTTGTTGTGTGAAACAGATATTGAATCAGTAGTATTATTGGAATGGTCTAGATGAAACGAAGGTTTAAAGCAATACTAGAGAACAAATACTCTCTCTCTTCCCCCCCCCCTTTTCTTCTCTTTCTATCTCTCACATACACAGTAGCACATATATAGGCACCCACACAACACCCACAGGTATATGATTTCAGAGGATTGCATCGATTGGTGTCACATTTGTTTTATATTGACTTTGGCTTTTCTACTTTTTATGATCACAAATGATACCTGAAGATGATCTTACATTATGTAAATGCATCAATGTCGGTCCAGTGCAGTTTTTACACCTGGAGTAGATAGAGCATTTGATTATGATGCTTTTGTGTATTGGACATAACCTTCTCACGGTTGTCTGAATTAAAGTTTTCACTCATGCATTCATGCTTAAGGAACGCCTTCAGATTTCACTTGCTACTAATCTTCAGGAACGGCAAGAGCAAATTAAGGCTGAAGCTGGTGGTGCAGATTTTGTGCCCATACCATTTAGCTTTGCACAGTCCTTTCATGATGACTCTCCTACTTTTTGCATGGATGACTTCGAAGGTATTATAGTCTTCCCTCCGAAATTTGGTTAAAGTACATGTGATGACATGAAGTTTGTTCGACTACTTACGGGAAGAATTCTGATAGTTTTAAGTGCTTGCTAAGTTCAACTACTTATGGGAAGAATTCTGGTAGTTTTAAGTGCTTGCTAAGGTGGTGGTCTGAGTAATTTTTAAACTTCAAGATCATTAATGCATTTTAAATTATCTTCCTGGAACTTCAAGTTCATATGCTGTACTTGAATAGCTGTGCTGTTACATCGAATTCTCTGCTTTCATGGTACTTTATGCTTTGTTCCTATCTGAGCGGGTTCTAGCCTAGGGATAATATAACCGACTATTCTGGGTTGTGCTTTTCATGATTCACATGGTGCTCCTTCAATTACAATTTGCACGTACATAGTTATCAGTGCTTCCCATTATGGTCTGTCAATGGCATATTAACATAATGATTAACTGTTTGTTCTTTTTTCTTATGCTTGCGCTCCATAAGCTTTGGGAAGTTCTACTGTCACGTCATCAAGCCCTCCAACCGCTGGGAATAGGCAACTGTTCTCTAGTGTTGCAAGGCTTGGTTTTGCGGCTGGGCATGATTCACCGGCTTTGAAAAATGAGGAAGCTCATTCTTTGCCTAAAACTGACATGTTACGTGATTCTACAGGTGTTACTGGTATGCACTAACATAACGATGATATGTTGTCTTTTCTGTTTTAAGATATTTATGATGCAATAATGATCTCAATGACATATACTCTGAAGGTGTGTAAGATAAAGAGAGCATGCCATAGTTTCAGTGGATAGATTCACATTTTTCATTTTAACCTCGAGTTGGGAGAGGAAACAAACCTGTCATCTACTCGGTTTTGTTAGTGGTTTCATTGTTACTGGACCATGTTTTCTGTAGGATTGAACGCAAGTACACCATCATTTGCCAATATAATATCCAGAGCAAAACCTGAAGAAGGCGTGGAGGTGTCCAAAATGAATGATAGGGGGAAGAAAGGAAAGAAGCCGAGTCGAATCCTCCTGTCAACAGCTGGTGGCCGGCGTTATTGAATCTCAAGAAACTTTACAATTAGCATCTGTATATTCCGTAGTGTGTTTTGTTTGAATGAGGAATTATGTGTGCTTTTCTGACCACTTAAACAGGGTCTTCAAACTGCGACAAGAGAACTTAACAAAACTGGCTTATATTTGTTCTCTCTATCTCTGTATGTTTTTTTTTTTTTTTTTGGGGGGGGGAGGGGGAGGAGTTGGTGGCAATATTCTTTGTTGTCTATTTTTCTTCCCTTTGGGATCGGGTTATTCAAAGGTGATGTGGGCGGTGTGGACAATTTGTAGTTGGTGGTCCAATTTTAAGCTTAAACTGGGAAGTGATGAAATAAAATGGGAAGCAGGACTCACGTGAAGATCGCCAGATTAGTATGTGATACAGACAAGGGCCAATTGAAAAACACAAAATCTGAGCCTATGATAAAAACATCAAATATTAAACGGATTGCAAGTTTTACCTTATAGATTGAAACATATAGTCAGTCAGTATAAGACCCAAATTTTATGCCTATTCAAATTTCAGGTGAACGCACTTGAGCTCTGAGAGACATTATGCTAGGAACGAACTGCATAGTGATAATTGAGAGGCAACGCATCAGGTTTGTACATACAAGTAATCACTCATATTTCCTGACATTTAAAATATTACATACAAGCCTTCTGAGGTTTGTACGCGTATAACACTTAAACTCCTACTGTCAATATCGGTTATAATATTATATCCAAACCCGTTAAAGTTTGTAGACATGTAATATTTAGATCCCTCAAATTTAAAATATTATATTTAAGCCAAAAATACACCAAGTAAAGATAGAATATTAAATATATTAAATTTTACAACCAAATTCAGTTATATTATGATATTTATTGAAATAAAATTAAAAATAAAAATTTAATTTTTTCTTAAAAAATCATAATTAGTATATAATTATATTATCTATTAGAATTTAATTTGATCGTTTGAATTACCAAATTATTCCAATTAAAGCTAGCATATATTGTGTCAATTATAGTTTGACCACTTATTTATTTTTTAATTTTATTCCAATAGATAGTATAATTATATATTAATTATGATTTTTTAAGAAAAAATTAGATTTTTATTTTTGATTTTATTTCAATAAATAACATAATATAACACGAATTTTTTTTGTAAAATTTATGTTTTATTATGAATGACTTAAACCCCTTCTTTTGATTTTTTAAGAAAAATTTAGTTTTTTATTTTTGATTTTATTTCAATAAATGATGCAATAGAACATGAATTTTAGTTGTAAAATTTAAAATATTTAATATTCTATCTTTAATTGAAGTATTTTGTGTCTAAGTATAATATTTAAACTTGAGAGGTCTAAATATTATATGTTTATAAATTTTAAGGGGTCTGAGTATAATTTATTAACTGGTCTAAGTGTTATGCATACAAACATTAGGGAAGTTATATGTAATATTTTAAATGTCAAATAATCTAAGTGATTAGGTGATAAATTTTAGAGGTTTGAGTGTAATTCTCATTTTTTTTTTATTATACGACGGACCCAAATAGTTAATCATTGAACCAATAAACTATTGATCCAGTCTTTCGTCCGGTTCGATATCCAGTCCAGTTTTGGTAATATATATGGCTTACCAAATTTGAAACGTATGGCTTAATTTGTACAGTTAATATAATTACGAGGCTTAATTGAACAAACTGGTATTGTTACGGGTGATCTCGGTAATTTACTCGTAAATAAAAGCTTACAACCAACACAACACGCACACCACGCGCGATCTCTGATTTTCAACTCGGCAGGATCTCAGATTACCAAGCAACTCATTGTCACCGTCTCTCTCTCTCTCTCTGGGCAGACGATGATGACGAGACTTTTAAAGAACTCATCGACAAGCAACACAACCAGGAGGCCTGCCCTGCTTCATCTTGTTTGCGCTGCCGCCATTTTCTCTCTCGTCGTTTTTGCCATCCAGTCATCTTTCTTCACCGGTCAGTTTCCCACTTCTTTACTTGTTAAAATCTCAAACCCTAATTTTATGAAATTATAGAGATTGAATTCTCAGTCATAGCTACCTCGAATTACATGTTTCCATGCGTTTCATTGCAGGTAGCCAGAACCTTGTTACTGTCAACAGAGAGGAAGTTGAGATCTTATCTCAATTCCAGTCCAGTGTTCAGCAATGCGTAGTAAGCATTCTCATTTCTTCTTTTGCCTATCTACATGTATAAGTATACTTAATTTCCAATTCTTAATTTCATGGTTCAGATGGAGTTGCTTAGTTAAGTTTTCCATATGAACCATGTCTCGGTTGCTCTTAGATCTGAACCGACTTTTCAATGTTTGAGTTTTTGTTAGTTTGTTGTGTGCGTATATTTGTTAAACCCACTAAAAAGGGGAATGTGCATTTACACTTCATTCTAGTTGAAATATAGGGAAACTGCATTATTTTCACTGTACAAATTCTGTCACCTATGGTAGGGAGACTACACATGCACTTCATATGTTTGTGTGTTCTGAAAGCACACATTATGTATATACCTGAATGAACGCTACATGGACTATTGTGTTAGAGGCAAAATCAATTGTGCACTTTTGTGATGTATTCTCTATTATGAATCATTTTATTCTTCACTTCTTTGACCTTTTACAAGCCTTGGAATTTGCTCGTAGGCGAACAGAGGGCTTGGACTTACTGCAAAAATTATTGACCACTGTAATTTGATTCTCAAGTTTCCAGAGGGCACTAACAGCACTTGGGTCTGGCTCTTCTTTGAATTCTCAATTCTTTCTATCTCCTTTTTTTGATGCACTTCTGCATTAACCTAATTTTTTTCTGTCTGTACTTTCAGTATAATGAACAGTTTAAAATCTATGAAAAGTTGGAGTACAGTTATGATGTTTGTGAGGCAATTTTACTCTGGGAACAGGTTAGTTTGCGGTGTTATCCTTCAAAGAAGTTGTCTCTGAACTTCCAGATGTAAACTGAGATTGTTTGAAATGCAGTATCGTAACATGACTACAGTATTGACAAGAGAATATCTAGATACTCGCCCAGATGGATGGTTAGACTATGCTGCAAAAAGGATTGCACAATTGTAGGCTCCTGCCATCCTTTTTTTTTAAAGTTTCTTCGTATTAAAATTTTCAGTTTTTTAATTGATTTTATATAGTTTAGTGAATTAACAATAGGGATTACTAAGCAATTATTTTTTTTCTGTTACTTCTTTTTATGGTTGCAGAGGTGCAGATAAATGCTACAATCGGTCTCTCTGTGAGGAGAACCTTAACTTAATTTTGCCAGCAAAGCCACCCTTCCACCCCCGCCAGTTTCAGACATGTGCTGTTGTCGGGAATTCTGGAGATCTCTTAAAGACAGAGTTCGGAAAAGAAATTGATAGTCACGATGCAGTTATACGAGACAATGAGGCCCCAGTTACTGAGGTGAATTTGTGCTTTTGTTCTTTGTTTTCACATTGGAAACGACTGTGAAGATCACTTGTCTTTGAAATCATCATTTTTGCTGCTTTCATTCTGGTATGGTCTTTCTCTACACATATCTTGTTTAACTTGGAGATACTACTCCAGTAGTTTACTAATGCAGTATCTAAGATACCCCGAGTTTCAATGACCATCTTGCATCCAAGATGTGATTCAAGTCCCAAATGAATCATTGGAGTCGTATCCTACTTGGCTTTTTCTGTTCCAGCTTTGTGTAAATCACAAGTCTCGCTAGACTTATGGTGAACTTAGGCATGTCTCGATTCACTCAGCTAAGTCATCGTGATATAGATTGAAGAAGGAATTTGGAGATGATAAGAGAAGAAGATGATGAGAAGAGAAAGAAGAAGATTAGGGCAAGAAGGATACTCTCAATAATTCAATAATCAAAGTCTACCAAAAATAATTGCATCAGCCCCTTTTTGTAGGGATACCAAAACCGTAAATAAAGATTCCTAATCTAACTGTAATAGTAAAAGATAACTACTAACTATTGTTCACATAAATCTTGAAATAAATCTACAATATTTATCCAACTCTTAACATGATTCCCATCATATCGTCATTGAATTGCAATGTACTGCCCAATAGTGTTCTTCGACGTTGTGACTGACATGTCTTGGTGCCCTCATATCGATGGCTGATATCATTGCCTTGCACCATTATGTTCTTCTCCTCCTTTTTCCTATGGTCATGTGGATTTCAGATTATGGCATTTTTTCTGTTTTGTTGCTTGGACGTTGGTTGGTGTGTAAGATATGGAACAATTAATCTACCTGGTCCTTACGGATACTGTGCAGAAATATGCAAAGTATGTTGGTCTGAAGAGGGATTTCCGCCTAGTCGTAAGAGGTGCTGCACGTAACATGGTTAAAATTCTTAGTGGATCAGGTAAATTCATGTTATTATCCATTTTACTGTTCAAACACTTCCTGTGTGCTGTATTCCATTTCTTCTTTGTCCAACCCCCCCCCCCCCCTTTTCTCTTCTTCTCTATGAAGTTCCATGATGAAAAATTTTGCTATCTGACTTTGAGTTTCAATGTTAACTTTGTAACTAAATTGTCTTGGTGTCCATAGTTGTTTTTACATGTGTTTTGATTTATCATGAAATATGGGATGCTTCATGCCCACTTATTCGCGTCAACCTTCTGTAGGTAATGTAGACATTTGTTGGTGTAGTAAGTTCCTTCGTACTTGTCTGTCTCCTCCACGCAGATTTTCTATATAGAGTTTTTTTTGGAAACCGTTTGAGGGAAATCTAGATCTTGGATGCCATTTTTTTATTTTTTTTTGAACTGGGGAAGCCAATTGAATATGGCATAATTGATAATCAGGGGAAGTGATATGATGACTTATGGGTTTTGTGTTCATCATATAGGACAAACACATCATTCTTAATCATCTTCTTCAGTTCTATTTATCATTTTTCATTAAGTAGAAATTTTTTGTTGATTTGTCATGGCCTCTTCTACAGATGAAGTAGCATTGTTTTTTAAAACATTCTTGTTATCATAATACAAATTTCAGTCCATACTCACTATATTTTCCTTCTGCAGCTGATGAAGTACTTATTATCAAGAGCGTGACTCACAGAGACTTCAATGCAATGATAAAGGTGAGTCTTACCTCGTTGATGGACAGTGTAGTTATTATTATCATTACCTTTGTGATATAATTAGAAGAATATTTGAGATGAGTTTGGCCAGAGTGTTCACATACCTGAAGAAAGAGGGCTAGATTTTTAGGATCCGCTGCCATATTATGAGCATGATGTTTTATCTTTTGTGCTCTCAATGATTTTTATCTGTGCTGTTGCTTGCTTGACACACCATTTTTGTTGTTTACAAATTCGATACCTGTTCACTTCCTCTCCCCTACCCTCTCTCTGTTGTTTCTTTTCTGCAGTCCAGTGGACTCTCTCTCTCCCCACTTTTGGGTGTGGGGAGTGTGTGAGTAGTTTCCTGTTGACTGTGCAGGCTCCTTATAATTAGGACCTAGCTGAACACACACTGTATCTCAAACCAAAGAAAAGAAAGGTTCGTTTTCCCACAATTTTAACACATTTTTAACTTATTATAGTAAGGTGCTCATGATGACCAGTGTCGTTTGGAGGGCCTATGCCTCCCAGGCGTGCCAAATTTTTAACTTCAGAAAGCATCACCCAAAGTCTCTCTTAAAAGGCATAACGGGTGTATTGTTATTTGTATATGTTGCAGAGTATTCCAAATCCTGTTTATCTCTTCCAAGGTATCGTACTACGCAGAGGTGCCAAAGGAACTGGAATGAAATCTATAGAACTAGCACTTTCAATGTGTGACATTGTGGACATATATGGTTTCACAGTTGATCCAGGGTATACTGAATGGTCAGTTCAGTTCTCGATTGTTCTTTCTTGTTTTCTGGACGTTCTATATGTTCTTGATATTTGTACTGAACTTGAAGTATTGCACATAAGTCATAACTTTGGTGCTCTCCTAATTTTTCTGTGTTTCATCTTCTTATGGAGCTTGTTAATTAGTAATTTACTCATACCAAAATGAAAAAAGGCTCTTTCTAGCTTTCATCTCTCAATCGTCCGCTGGGATTGCTAATTGCTGGCCTTGGTGTTCGTGCAGGACACGATATTTTTCTCCACCAAGGAAAGGGCATAATCCGCTGCAAGGAAGGGCATACTACCAACTCCTGGAATGCCTCGGTGTAAAAATATTTTCCCCTCTTGAGAAAAAGATTTTGTTCCCGTTCAGATACATGTTCATGTTTACTTGGTAGTCCAAAACTTTCAGGGTATTAGGATCCATTCTCCCATGGGAGCAGGAAGATTGTATTTTTGATATGTACATACACATTCTGTCATTCAGATACAGGGTTCATGTTTAATTTGTAGTCTGTAACTTTCAGGTTATTAGGATCCATTCTCCCATGAGAGCAGAAAGGAAGCAAGACTGGTCAGATGTGCCAAGCCGAGAAATGATAAGAAGAGCTCATGCAGCTGCCCTGCACTTGAAGAGGAGTCAAGCTGGCCAAGATGGTCGGTTGGGACAATTTGGAAGCTGTAAAATTTGGGGCAATGTGGGTCCCCACAGCAGTGGGCCTATCTCTGGATCTCCAGACATGAGTGGTATCAGGAAGTACTCAAATTACAGCAAATGGGAAGTCATGCCTTTTGTTAGCTTAAGAAAGGAGGCACAGGATCATTATGTTCAGATGGAAGGTGTTTCTCTGTACAAAATGGATGGCAATAAATTGGATGATCTGGTATGCATGAGACATTCCTCAAAATCCGAGGTGTAACCCAAATTCTGTGTTGGTGTCTTTTTGTATTCCCGTGATGATTGGTTGAGAGCAGAACCAGCCGGGTATATTCATTCTATATGGAATTTACCATGAGATAGGTTTCCCAGGCGGGGATTCTCTGAATTGGCCTTGCCACTGCATTCGTGTCACTTCAAACAATGGTGCCATGTGGTCCTGGTATGTTTAAGTGGCATCTTTAGACTCAACCTGCATAGGAGAAAAGAAACTTGCTGTAACTCACCAGATACGTGTTGTTGGATAGGATTCAGTGTGGGTTATGGAAAGATGAGGCCTTGGGAAATTCAGAAATTGCTGTTCTGGTACCATGTATTGGATTTTGTTAATTTGGAATGTTTATATTTAAAATCAATGCTATGGTGAGCAGTCAAGATTGATTGTTCTTTGCAAACATGTACAGGCTGGTGATAGATAGTTTCAGGTCGAATAGTCATTGATCTTTTGGAGTGAGGTATGTACACATTAACCGTCTTTAGAATATAGAGACTACTTTCTTGCCCTTTTTTTCGTCATTTGTCTCGACTGTGATATCTCGAGTATACTGACCCAAAAACACATAAGGGCTCAAAATTAGTGTATAAGTATTGGATTGCCAGGGATTAGATTCCATAAGTTAAGAAATGCGCTAACCATAATACTGTTTTTCAGTGTGTTGCTCGGAGAGGCTTGTGATGTTCTTGGAGGAGAATTCTGCAAGCGCCCTTATCAAAAGGAAGTTTACTAGAGGAAAACCATGTCCATAAACAAAATCCTCTTCCTCTTTTATTATTATTTTCTGTGTATGGTTTATATTTTGGTGGCTAATTATTTATATAGCTTGGTGCAGAAGTTTGGACTTAAAAGGAAATGTGAAAGTCAGGCATCTAAATGAAGAAACTTTTGGTTCTAGACAAGCGATAATTGGGAAACCACCCCGGCACTCTGGTCAAACACAAGCTTCATTTATACACAGATCTAGGGGTTTGATTCATATTAGGTACTATACTGCAATGAATAGTTGTTAATGAAAAAGTTGTATAAAAAAGCCATTGCACAATCCTGATGTAGTAGATAGTAACTTCACAGCTTCGGACGTTAATTAATCCTATGATACACAACTCATCAAGGAATGCCCCATGTTCTATGCAACCTAAGAGTGCATAATGGAACATTAAGCTCTTTGTCATATGGAAGTAATATGCAGAAAGGGCAGCTGATCAATCGTCTAAACCCGATTAGTAACACTGGTGAAATGACACAATTGGAATCAATACTAAAAGTAATGAATTGGGATCAACGAATTCATATTGCCTTGGAGCCACAGGAAACTAATCTATTGAGCCGTCCATGGATACTAGCACTGTGGGAATTGAAGATAAAAAATGTAATGAGTCGTCAGTTTTTCAACAGTCGATGACACCAAAAATTCCAACTTAACTCTCTCTACGTGAATATGTGTGCCCTTTTAACATTTATGCAATGCAATAAAAACTCAAAAGACATCCAGCCAAGCACTGCACTATAAATCAAAAGTCTCTTTCTTGATTCTTTTTCTAAGAAAGAAAGTTTTGGTGAACCTCAGAAACAAAATAGTGGTCCACAACCAACCTTAGAGCTCATCAACATTTTTTTTTGGTAGCAAAAACAGCTCATCGACTTAGAATCCACTAAGATTCATGAAACAAATACGTAAAACACTATAACAAATAAGAAAGAAACACCCTTAATTTGAGATTTCCTAACAATCCACTTAGTGAAACTTCTATTTCGTATGCCAAGAGGAGTGATCCACTAAAGAGAGGATTAATCTCCGATAATGGTTCAAATTGCACCAATAATCAATCCATTTTCTTCCATGCATACATATTCCCAGGAAAGGATTCAAGAATCCCTGAACCAAAATCAAGGAACCATGGAATACAGAATCACAAATCCTTCATAATTTTGTCATTATCCAATTGTTGTTGAATGGGCCCATTTAACGATGTTAAAGTCCTCACTACAGGCAGTTCAGTGGTTAACCTACGCCATTGAACGCCAAAATACAAGTATGTCAAAGCTTGCAAGCTAAAGGAGAATTATTCCATTTCACGTGCGATTTAGGCTCTTGGTTGTACCGAATTATTCCATTTCACATGTGCCAAACCACACCATACACACTAATGCCATATATCCAACTCCCCGAAGAGTGCAGGGTTTTCAAACTCCTACAGAAACTCAGAAACAAACAATATAGGGCACCACCTAAAAGACTTTACCATTAAAGCCTAATTGATTCTTTCCTCTTGAGAAAAGAAGAAGAAATAAAGGGAACCCCCCGGGGGGGAGAGAGAGAAAGAGAGTTAGTTTTTTGCCATTTATAAAAGACGTACCCAGTGCACGAAGTTCCCACCATTGCGAGGTCTAAGGAGGCTTAGATGTACGCAATATTACTTTTGCATGCAGAGAGGTGGTTTATCAATACCTATAATTCCCAGTCTCTACACCATAGAAGCTTAATCTTTCCTGAATCCGTATCTCTAAGCATTTCAGCGTTATTAAAGACCAAACTTGAGGTAGGCAATAGAGAGAGAGACTTATCTTTCTCTCTCCCTTTGAGACAAAGATGGCAACATTGAAATTCTGCTAAATCCTTCGTCGGAGATGCAAGAAACACCACAACCACCTTCACTTTTTGATGTCAATGTACTACAACCTCCTATAGCATCTAGTATAACACCAGTCCTCAGTGAACTAAAAGTTAATCCTCTGCTTTCACTGATTACATTTTCTGCTGAAGCAATGAAAGCAACTATTGCTATGTGGAATAATTCATTTGCTTCCTAATATTTTGCTCACAGAATTCATTCTGTAAATTTCATACCATTTGATAACAGTGAAACCATCAATTTCGCTTACAATTTCATTCTAGTCTGATTTGCAAAACATTCAATCAAATCTGCGGATGGCCGAAATCAAAAAATATATAGCATCTTTTTTTTTTTAGCCAGTGCATTATCTAACTGCATCCACAGAAGCAATTTTTTGCACGTAATGGTCAAAAGCAACAACAATAATGCAATCAAACATATGGAGAATCGCCTAAATACAGATCTTTCGCATAACAAATTCAAAAACTCATAATATTCCATTACAACTCAAAAACAACAAAATTTAATGTGTTATATTCGAAAACAAGGACAGATTACTTCTTACTCTTAAGCAAATCATCAGGAACAACCTTGAGCTGCTTCCTCTCTTTAGACTTGGCAATCTTCTTAAGAGTCTTGGGATTAGTGATCTTCTGAAGCTTAGTCCCAGACCTCAGAATATTTTCCTGCTTCCTCTTCTCCCTCTCTTCTCTCTTCTTCCTCTTCTCAATTTTGTTCTGCCTAATTTCTTCCTTCAGCTCAGTCATCCTCTCCTTATACGCCTTCTTTATCTCCTTCTCCTTCATTCTTTGCTCGAAAGTCGTAGGCTTTCGGCTCACGTTCACGGCTGAGGCTCGGTGGTTGCGAGGCTGCTTCCACTTCCGGCCAGAGACTTTTCCGGCAATCACGCCGTCGTATGTGGGCTTTCCGAAAACGGGCTTGCTGGGATCATCAGAGGCAGGCACGGCTTGTCTCTTCGATGGAGGTGGGCTTGTCCCTTCGATGGCGTCGACGTCCATGGAGGAGTTACCATCTTGTGTTGATTGGTTGAGTTGTTTTTCAGCTTCTTCGGATCTCTTTCGCTTGTATGTCTTCCCGCCGAACCCTTCATCTAGACACCTGAAGTCAATCGTACACGCCATCCGTTCGGGAAGAGAGGACCGAGGGCTAGGATTTCTTGCTCTTAGTAAACCCTAATGTTAGTTAGGGTTTCCTTTGTGCCAGTGGTCGAAACGGAGAAATCTTATAGTGGGGAAACTTCATTTTAATCCCCGGTAGTTTACCCTAATTGCACATAAGCTCCTTGAGTTCTCAAAATAGCACATAATCCTCTCTCATAGTTGTTGCACTAAAAATAACAATAAACTCTGTTAACGACAATAATATAATGATCTTCCTACCCATCACTTTATTTTTAACTGAAAATTAAAATCAACCACAAAAATAATTCTTTTTTTTTTCGGTCCAAAAACAAAAATAATTCAAACAACTCCAAAATGCATCAACATCGACACCTAGTCATTCCCAACTCTGACACTTGTTGCACCATCGCTATTATCATAGTGATAAAGTTATACTCGAATTTCTATTTTGTGATAGTATTGAGATCCAATTTTTTCTTAGGGAATCATGCTCTCAGAAAAAAGTAGTGATAATTGTTTCTCAATAAAATTCTTTTTCGTGGGAGATTTCTTTGAAAATAATGTGATTTCAAAATAAAAATTTAACTAGATTCAGAATCTCAACCCAACACGTAAGTATACTCACAGAACCAATATATCAAACAAGTAATGAGCAAGAATCAACCACAACAAACACATGAGATTACATATCAAAAGACCCAACATTTTACTTTTCAACAAGCTTAAAAGATTCTGATTAGAGGTCCACTTACAAAAATGTACCAAAACTCTCTTAATTATTGCAAACCCTAGTAATGTGTATATAAAGTTATACATGACAGTTACAACCCAACTGCATAGACAATGTTAGCACTAATTAGTTTGGCCAACTCAGTCATGTATTTGACATCCTCAACTGAACTGCTAAGATTTCAGACACCAATTAAATTTGTCCTTGTTCTAAACGATTTTTGCATTTTTTACCTTAGGATGTGTATGCTTAATGAGGTTACATGTTGTTTTTGAGTTTCCATTTTCATTTAGGTTGAGAGACCAAACGATCCTGTATTCAAAGGCTCAACAAAAGACGTCACTACATACCTCGGTTTTGGACGAACTTTAGTGTTGAGGTTCATAGACCGGAAATTCAACCCAACTTAAGCATTATTTTATATCTACAAGTCCTAGAACTACGGACAGATTTTGAACTAGAAAGGGGTATTGGGTCTACAAGTCTTACTCAACGATTGTGGGAAGTTTGGCATAGCCCCCATAATTTGCTGAACATGGCTGGAGCAGTTGTACTTTGCAACCGCCATCTGTCTCGGCTTTGGGTTGTATATTGATCATGTCATATTTAGGTTTTACTTCCATAAGACACTTTGGGGCGGCATAAACAATAAATTCACTTGATTTTTATGCTTACAAAATCAAGTAAAAATTCATACAAAACCTAATTAGAGAAAACAAGAAGATATCTTTTTTATACTATACTAGTTAAGTGAATTTATCATATTTGAACTGAGTTAAATTTTAGAGGTACAATTTAAGCGAATTAATCCAAGTCCAACCCAAAATCAGTCCGAATTGACTAATATGAATTTAACCCGAGTTTTAAGAAAGTAATTCGGACAATACTCGAATTGAGTAGATCAGGTTGAATTAGAGTTAAAATTTTTGTACCTCGATTTAGACCGAGGTTGACCGCCTAATGCATCCGAATTGCACCCCTATTTGGCATTATGTTGACCGGAATGCCACCCCAAGTGCGAAATGTTGAAATCATGAGCAGCAAGGCCAAATACTAGATCAGTTTTTTTTTTTTTTCTGAACGGAGAATTAGTAGATCAGTTGGAGTGGAGTCATTTGTTTGTCTTAGCATTAGCTATAAAATTCAAAATAAAAACAGAATGTGAAGCACCCGAATATGCCAAAACAAAATTATCCATTCAATGAAGGAAGCCGAAGCATTACCCCCATTGCTAAAAATCCATCACTGGTTTATTTACTGTTTTAGTGCAAGAAATCCTCTATTCCGTATATTTATTTAGTGATGATAGCTCATCCAAACTCTAAAAAGGTTACTCTTAACGGCTTTACTTGTTTGCTAGACTAGACGACGGCTACATCACCCATCCACCCCAAGTTGAAGAAATAGCAAACATTTTCCATTAAGCTCATAAGCTAAGCTAGCTAACAGTCTCGCTAAACTTCTTTCCTCCCTGTTTTTCTTTCTACCCTTTTAATATTAACTCAAATGAAATCAGAAGATATACCAACAATATGAAATCAAAAACATGGACAGAGAAATTGATGGTTCATCACCCAAAAGGACCAAAAGACACATAGAAAGGATAAACTGGACTTCTCCAAGAACATTACCGGCTTAGGAAACTCAAGAAATTGAGCAACATAGTAGAACAAGATCATGTCGACTATTCTTGCAAAAAATTCATGTAGATTACTCTTGCAAAAAAATTCAACAAGGCAGGCCCAGCCAACAGCACCAAGGAAACCTACTAGAGTCACTGAGGGACAAATTCAAAAACAATAATGTCCTTGAAGTGAAAGTCTACATGATCTTGTTATAAAGCATTAATACAGTATCATTATCTTCTAAAGTCATTAAAATTTCATATTAGATGAAGAACTACAGAAGTACAGTTGAATTGCTAATAGGAATGGAAATAAATGCTCGCCCAGATTTGGATGCAATGGAATATAAATTTAATTGAGACGACGGTAATCCTTGAGAAAGAGAACTTGAAAGGAAAGCATGTCAACATCAACTTTGCAATGCTGCAACAGACCCATTTTCAGATCTATATTCCCAGACTAGTTCCGAGAGATCACTCTCAAAAAAAGCAGAGTGAAGAGCCCTGACACATTGTTCTGCTTCGCTGTCGTTTACTATCAATGAGATGTTGACCTGGTTCGCAGTAGGGAAAAAAGTAAAGAGTTATTATTCGGAAATGAGAAAATACTAAGCCTGAGCTCCTGAATACTTGAACAAATGACCCAATACTAAATGGGTTTAGTTATACATGGTAAAAACAACAAAACAATTCTTTACTCTGATATTTTCTAATACATATCAAATCAAAAGATCCTTTAGTGTATATATATGCACACTTGTGCATGCACTTTCCTGCTATATATTTGGCTGTACTGATGAAACAAAAATTAGCAAATGGTCATTTCTAGATTACCTTAGATGCACCTTGGGAGATCATCTGGACATTGACTCCATTGGAGCGGAAGACATGAAAGACCTGCCACAAACCAAAGAACCAAGAATAAATGGTAGTAGTCGTAAAGAAAAGGGGCAGCTGGATGGTGCTAAAACCTGCAGAGGTGTGACTCTTCAATGTAGCCACATGCTACCATTATCGTAACTGTTTAAAACAGAACTCGTGAATTCAGACGATCACCGAGAGTGATCTAAATCAATGTGCAAGAATGATTCTCTATGCCTATACAGAATTGTACACGTAGAGCATTATAGTAGGCAGCAAAAAGGCTGCAGTACAAATGAGTGCAGCCTACTCTTTCTTTTTTTATTGAACTATCTCACAAAAGGGGAATGACAGAGGTCTTCACAGCAGAATTTTACGAAATCATCAAGAAAATGAACTAAAGACTGACAAAAATAAAAAATGGAAAACCATCAAGAGAAACAAGGAGAAATCATACATCAAGAAAATTTCATCCAAGCACACTCTGTTACATATAGAACCAGGCAACAAAAAACACTTCCTTATGGAAACATAAGAGGACACTGAGGGACCAAAATATGATACAAACAGTCTCGAGGTATATCAACCAAGAAACAAAAACTAATCAAAAAGACATAATCAGCAGTCTTTTGGGATGATATACAAGTTAGTGCTGTACCTTCTCTAATATCAGTGAGGACCTCAGAACATTTCCAATCAGAGAAATGATTGATCTGTGCTGTAGGAGATTCACAACTGCAATTTTCTCAAGTTCTTCGACAACATGATCAAGTTCCTGCTCAAGTAAGTACCAAATGAGGTTAGAACTTACCAGTTGAAAATGGAAAGACAAAAACTAAGTGAAAATTCCCATATACACAAGAATAGAAAAGGAGTTCAAGCAAATGTGTAAGCTAGTTTTGAATAATTGAAGCCAAAGTCATGTCGTAATGGAGAACTTAAAAGTGATCAGTGTCATGACCATAGTTGTCAAATCGCGTATCGGAAGACGTATCGTTTTTTAAAAATAGTGTATCGTATCGTATATCGTAAGATATGCACAATTTTAATTTTTAAATAATTATTAATAAAATATATATATATATGTATGCGTGTGTATATACACACACACACACACATATATATATATATATACCTTTGTAAAAAAATCATAGACTCATAATAACGTAGCATTTCATTAATATTCCACTAATTATTTAAGTTTCTAATATAGTTCAGTGATATCAGAATACAAAAACCTCTAATTCAAACTATTAACACCAACTGCTTGAACAACCTTAATATTAATCAAGAATTTTGAATTCAATTGATCAACATTAACAATAGATTTTATTTATTTATTTTTTAAACATAACCATTGAAACGACATTGATTCACTGGCTAGTGATTTAAAAATAAGTTCTAGGATAAAACGATGTCATTTTAGCCCCCCAAAAACCAAAAAAAAAAAATTAAAAAAAACAGAATCGTCACGTATCGGAAGTATCGTATCGTATATCATATGATACGGTACAAAAACGATGCAGAAACACGATACGTATCATTTTTTCAAGTGTATCGTGACGTATCGTAACATACGTATCTCATATCGTACGATACTAATAAATATGGTCATGACAACATAAAGCATGATTTCGTACACTTGCCTGCTGGATCAGTTCTCTGCTCCATAGCTTTGATGGATCCAATGTCAAGGAAATGCTAACTTCGCTAGTGGCTACAACATCCACAGATATGCCCAAATCTTCAAATATTGAAAACACCTGAATCGCGAAAGTCATGCACAGGGCATTAGAAAATTACAAAACCAATTGAAGATGGGTAGAAGAAATAGTAAACCAGCTTCAGTAATGAGCTTAAATTACCTTGGCAAGGAAGCCATATTGACCTAGCATGCGAGTGCTAACAATATCTAACATGGTTACATTTCGTTTCAAAACAATGCTAGTTAGAACTGCCTGAAACAAAAAAGAATGAATTAGATATCTAATTTGCCACACACAATAAATTAACTCTGAAGGGTATCCTGTTACCTACCTTGCTCATATCTCTTGTTCTAGTGATAAGAGTACCCGGAGCATTAGGATTGTAAGAATTCTTGACCCTAACAGGAATATCGCCTTCTCTAGCAGGCCTCATGGACTGCGGATGCAGGACCTGTAAGAGCAGCACATAAAGAGAAATCTCAGTATATTTTTACATCCATAAAACAATTTCTACTTTTATTAAATTTCTCGATTTATTATCTTTAAGGCTCTATTCAACAAACTAGCCATTGCACAATGAGAACTGGTCAGCTTCAACTGTAATAGACAGATGAATTAGAGAGCATGACAGGAAATATTAAGGATGCAAACTGATGACCAAGTTGACTATGCCAACTTGGGTTTATTACTGTAGTTTTAACTCTCTCAAAGAAAAAAAGAAATGTAATATAGCTTTCGTCCAATAGAAAAAGAAAACAAGTACAAAATCTCCTATACACAAAACACATGATGAATTTCAAAGGAAAGAATTTGCAACCCTCATTATGGCCATAAAACAATCCACTGCAACTTAGTAAGCCATTTTTTTTTTTGCAATGTACCAAAAGCCAAATTCTCAATGTGCTTATGGACCCTATTCAGGCTATATCTATGAGCATCTCAACCCAAATTTTAAAATTTCAACCAAGTTGCAATATGTGGTAAAAATCTGTACATAGGTTCCCCCCCCCCCCCCAACCACCCAAGGGGGGAAACTCATAAACCAATATTTTGGCGATGATCTGGCACCATCATCAACCATGCAAGTAAATTGAATTCAATGCACTTTTGTGATACTCTCATTTAGGATTGTAGTAATAGACATATTATACCTGAGCACCAAAATACGCAAGTTCAGCTGCCTCTTCGAAAGTTAGATATGGCACAGGTTCAGCACGTGGATATATGTTAGGATCACAAGTCAAGACACCATCCACATCTTTCCATACCTGTAATGAATTGAGAGCTTGTTATTTAATATCTAATTCTGGCCTTAAAACATTATATTGGAATCACAAACACGTGTACTGGAACCTAAAGTGGTTAGCTTGTTAATCAAGATGTGTGCTTCAGTGGATGCTTAAGCAGACCTGCAAATGTCTCATCACATGCATTGAGGGTTTGCACTAACCTGAATTTCTTGCAACCCTAATGCTTTACCAATGGTTGTCGCAGTCAAATCACTACCACCCCTACCCAATGTAGTCACTGCACAAGTTCTCCAACCCTAAAAATTAAAACATCCAAAATTTCAGTGTCATCATAAAACCTCATGATATTTTTATGTAAAACCCTTTAATGAAGGAAAATCAGCCCTGGGAAGACCTTTCCGAGGAAACCAGTAACAACAGGAATTGCAGGATCACTAATCCAATCACCATGCAATCTCTTTGCAACAGCTGGATAAGTTGCTTCCAAAATTTCAGCATTTGTGAATTCATCTGTTGTAATAAAACCGAGATCAAAGGCGTCGTACTGCAGCAAGACACAATGATATAATGAGCATCATCCACAAAAATGAGTATGGTTTTGAAAGAAATTTGGCCGGTAAGAAATGTGACCGAAGTACAGCAGTATTACACATAATCTAAGGTATGCAAAGTCTTTCAAAGCCTTAACAAATTTGAGATAAGACTTCTGTTTACGCATACTTATGCAGGACTAGGTTTGAGATAAGACTTTTGTTTCTGCTTCCTCAACCACTTTCACAAAACAACTCCAAACTTGTTCAAGTCCATCCTTTTTCTTTCATAGTGTACCAAAAGTTATAAAAGAAGAATCAAGGGTTTCTTTTATGTTGACAGCTCAAGGCCCAAGTGCAGCATTTTTAGGTGTAATGTACTCTGAACAATTAAAGTGTGACCAAATCAATTTTAAGAACCAAAAGAGTTTAGGCCTGAAATATGAGCAATTTTTTTTTAAAAAAGCCATATGGCTGGACTCAATAACAGCTCTAGAACTTAGTAATCATGGGAATCCGGAGGGCAAAGAAAGAAATTATTATAATGCAGGATCAACTCAACAGAAATTTTAAGTATGCACAACATGTCAATCACAAAACCATGTGATATAAAAATGATGTGATTCAGTACTCATATCTCAGTTTATCTATGATCTTCTATTTTAGTCAACTTATAATTGATCAACTTTTAAGCAAACATTATAACCCTAGACTTATATGCTTTCTGAGCTTGAAATTCAAGGCTCCTGCTGTGTAATATGCATATTCTTCCTATAAATTATCATCCTTTCTTTTACATTTGACAATCAATCATGTTCAGTTTGGAAATTTGATGAGCAAAGATGGGACTTCAATATTTAAAATCACTAGACATGTTTGATATAGCTCAACTGTATATGACCTCGCAGTTGGGAGGATGGCAACAGTCTTTCTTTAATGCAGGATTTTTGTTAGTTTATTAGTTCCTAGAAAAATATAAACTTCCAACACCAACTTTAGACAACTGATGAAGAAATCATACTTGGCGGGCTTTGACATCCATTTTATTCAAATATGCTGCAAAAATTCTGGTGGACATGCACTCCCCAAATGAGACCAAGAAGTCCTTTGTGCGTAGTGTCAATTCTTTCATCATAGCAATTCCCTTAAGAAGTTGCTCCAATTTCTCTAGGTGTGCTGCAAAAACATTTTCCACAAGCACAAAAAATGATTACAAAAACACGCATAATAAGTATCATCTGAACACTATGATGACAAAGAACAGAATTTAGGGTCCACAAGGCAATTCCAGGAACATCAAAAGATGAAAATTGGAAATGAAGAGAAAATTAATCTAAATTACAGTAGGATGCCAATATAAAACTTGATAAAAGGACCATTGCATTGTACTTGTGTAAGCTCTACTGATCAAAACCTTCAATGATAAAGGGGCACACAAGGCCGGTATTTATTTATATATTTTTTGGAGGGGGAGGGGAGAAGGGAGTTTGAACTCTTGACCTTAAGAAGGCAAAGTCTTCATAAGGCAAGGAGTACCAACTTCTTAAGGTCAAGGTCCAATATATCTCGGTTGCTTGCAGGAAAGTGGCTTCTCGACACTAAAAGTTAGAACCGATTAACATCTTTTGAAGTCATCTGGAACTGTTATCAAAAAAATAAATACAATTTGTTCTGCAACTACATCATTGGGGGATACTCCAAATGAATTTTGAAGATCTTGTTTTCCAAACATCAAACAACCTAATTGTCACCTCTGAAGACACTAAAATAGGGGATGCATGATAATTGATATTGCTATATATTTATAAGATGAGGCAAAAGGATTATATATACAGATTTACCTGAAGACATATCAGTGTTCAGAATCAATAATGTATATCCTAACTATCGACATCAACATAAAACAAATTATTCTTTTTCTGATAAGAAAACTCACCCGCAATGATAGACCTTTCTACTCCAAGCTCATCAACAGTCCTAAGTAAAGAAAAATGATGCTCAATCAGAAAAAATAAAATGTATTACTTGCAAATTTCCACTATCATGATCCAAATAAGAAAGGGGAAAAATATTGTGAGAGATGCTACTTACTTGAGATGCAATTCTTTCACGAAGGTCAACTCTTCAATATCAGAGGCATTTGAAACACCACAACTGACAGCCTTTTCTCCAGCCTAATCCACAAGCCAGAAATTTCACTCCAAATCTTCCTGAAATTAACATAGAAAGATATGCCAAAAAAAGTTGAAGTTACAAATACCAGTAAAAGCTTGTTCGTTGTCTTCCCCATAGCAGAGAGAACAATCACTGGCCTCTCTTCTGGAAAGCTGAGAATGAGGTCAGCTACTTCTCTCATCCTTTCAGCCGAGGCCACCGATGATCCACCAAACTTCATCACACATGTCAACTCATTAGCTAGTCCTTGTGAACCTTGATTCTCGGTGTCACTCCGCTCAAGGACATCAATATTTCCTTGCCCAGCACTAACTCTCAGAACTCTTCCCCTACATGAAGAACCGTTCAGTATTGTACAGTGTCCAGAAACAGAAGCCACGGACACTGCAACATCAAGCCTGGGCTGCGACAACAAAGATTGGTAGTACGAAGCTCTCCTTGACAAAGAAGTGTAGGAAGTTTTAAATCCGTATAAATGCGTAGCGGTAGCCATAAAAAAATCAGCTAAAGAATTTCAATAAGTCAGCAAGACCTAATGGATCTGCCGAGAAACAAAGTATTTCGACAAATTAAGCAAGTCAAGGTTTCCCAAAAAGCAGAGGAGAGAGAGAGAAAGAGAGCTAAATGCTCTCTCTTCTATTACAAATGTTGAAAGATCAAATCAGATCAGATGGCAACGACAAAACGCCCGTTGGATAGACGACCTGCACAATCCATGATTTGTTAGAATCAATTCTAAAGGAACAGTAAGGAAAACTATAGAAAACTATATGGGAACGCCACATGTAGACACTGAAAGGAACATTTAGCTTAAGGAAAACAGGACAAAGGCTTCAATTAGGCTCAGATTTGCTTTCTTGGAGACCCATAACGACTACTTTTTTTTTAATTTTGGGGCGTCAACCAATAAGCTCTTGAAATTCCAATGTTATTCATACATGAAGAAACCAGACTAACATAAAGACAGAATAAAAAGACCAAGAGAGAAGAAGAATTACAGACAAAGAGAGATTCTTTACGCACCTGCTGTGTACGAAGCAATGTTGGGTTGATTCTTCGAGGCAGAGAAGGTCTAGGGTTTTTTGTATCTCTCGATTCCTTCCTTCAGAGAATGGGAGAAATGTCAGGCTTGAAGGAATGCGAGAAGGAAATGTGAGTTAAACGGAGCTCAGCCAGGCCGCCATACCTCTTTATATAGTGCTCCAACGGCCAAAGTTTGGAGTTTTTTCTTTCTCCATTTATTTTTGGGTTAATTGCGCTGTAAGTTCTCAAAGTATAAAATTTGTCTCATTTTAATTTTTAATGTTTCAATTGTATTATTTTAATCTCTGAAATATTGAATATATTTTTATATGGTCTTTCAAGCAGACAATGTTCAGATTATTAATAATTTTTATCATAAATTTATCACGTTATACTGAAATATAGACAAAAAATAATTTAAATAATTCTTAATCAAATTTTTACTCAAATTTTAATTAAATAGTTTTCTAAATTTCACAATTTTGATCATGAGCTATCCAAATTTTGGTCAAAAGTTACTTATATTACACATTTTTTTTATCAAGAACAACCTAAATTTTATTTAAGAGCTATCAAAATTATTTATTGTTCATATTTAAGTATTACGTTACAAGTTTATAATAAAAAATTACTAGTAATATGGATATTGTCCGCTTAAAGGACCATATAGAAACATATTCAATACTTTAAGGATAAAAAAGATGCAATTGAAATATTGAGGACTAAAATGAAACAAGATTCATACTTTGGAGACCTCCAGTACCATTAATCTTTTTTTTTTTTTCTCATAATTGCAACGGACGGTGACAATTAAATCGTACTATGCTGTTTCATCTGTCGTTGGTGGCATAGATAAAATGGCGTTTGTACGAACGGTGTAAATGTTGGGTTTCACAGGGACAGGTACATCAGTTTAACCATCTGATAAAAAAATTATTATTTAGATATAAATATTAATTTAATTCGTTAATTTTATCGATTATAATTATTAAATAAATAGTAAATCATGTTATAAAAAAATAAGTACTAAATATCAATAAATATTGAGACTCATAAATAAATTAATAATAATATTAATTAAGTCAATATTTAAATACAAATAACATTATTTTTCTAAAAAAAATTAAATAGACAAAGTACACCTAGGGGCTGTCTGTTTGAGGTATAAAAGTGGTATAAGAAAAATAGTACGTGGGATTTATTTTAAACCTTATTTGTTTGACATTTTTTAGTAGGTACTAATGCCTTCTACACAGTGCTATTCAATACCACCAATCCGATGATATAATATTCTTGGTATAAATGAATAAAGGTATAATAAACTAAAAAAATCGAAATGCCTTCAGGTACAATGCCCATATAAAAGTTTAGTTACAATTTTTGACTTTTTAAAGTTAAAATTATTTTTTTATATTGATTAGTCGCAATTGTTGACTTTTTTAAGTAGGTATTACACAGATAATGTTTATAACAAACAAACAAGGAGAATGATGAGATTATAGTTTAAAATCAGGTAAAATATATTATTGAATCGAAGTAGAATGAATATAAAATTTTATACCACCTAAATTTTATATTCGAAACAAACGGCCCTAATATTTAAACCCCTTAAACAACAGTGTCCTCCAGAAACAAACCGGTGGATTTTAACCCTACGGTGGTTTTTGAATAATGGGTTTGAATAGAAGATGAATTTTATGTCCAACTCCATCTAAACCCAACCTCTCACCATAGGTTAGGGAAAGTATGTGATATACGGACCTATATTTTGTCGTGATCGCCAATTTTAACCATTTGTGGGTCCCATTGGCATATTTATACACGTTTTTATCGTTATACTCCCCATACATATCCACCCCATGACCATGGGTTTGAGTTTTGCTCCTTTCAACCACCCACTTTCTGCATGATTTTAGACAGAGAGAACATGGTTTCAAAAATTGGTGGTCAAGGATTAACAAACAAGGTTCAATTGCAAATAACTTTAATCTAGTGAGGACCATCTCAGCAAAAATGGTTGATTTCCTCCGTAAAAACCACTTACCATAGCTTCTCAAAGAACTTCCTTCACACAATACAAAGAGCCTCTGCGAGAGAGAGAGAGAGAGATCTGGCCTTCGCGCTACCATTGGAGAGGTGTGAGCGGCTGTGAAGAAGAAAGAGAAAGAGACGTTAGGGCTTTTAAGAGCACAAGGGCAAAAATGTAAAATAACCCTTGTAACCACGCTCCAGCTAGGTTTAAATTAACCCATGTATAAGGGGACGAGAGCGCTGTTCATTCCGGGTCTGGGATAAACTCGGATCAAATATCCATCTTGATTTTTTAATTCCCAAACATGGGATATATAGGACCTACAGAATTTTTAGCCAATTCATATGAGGTTAGCCAATTCATAATGGTAATAATTGTTTTTTTTGAGAGAGAGTGAGACTATCCGGAGAGATATTTAGGAATACATATTTCTAAGATTAAAATATAATATATGAGTAAAAAAAATAATATGATTACACATTAGATTGTGAAACATAAAAGCAGGAATATACTTTTTTCTGGTTGAATATGTTGGCCTATTGGCGTGAGAGAGTAGAATAATTTTGGCACGTATATTACTGTAAAATATTTCTTTTGATCTGTATTTTTCTGTTAAAGTAGTCTGTAATTTAATGGAACCCCGTAAACTTCATTTTGTGGATTGACAGGCAAGATGGCTTCTGCCGTGAATTGAAAGTCATTTGCTGTCGTGCTTATTTGGTCAGCATTCTTCAACTTTGTGCGTTGAACCAGCTAAAGTGTGGGATAAAGAGGGTGCGCACACCGGCTATATATTATATATATATATTTTGACCAAATGATTCTATTCACGGACATTTAAATCTGAGCAATCTTAATTTAATATAATTTATTAATTTAATTATTTTATAATTATTAAATTGATGATAACTGAGATTTAATTATTAAAATAATAAATTAAATATTCAGTAATATTATTATTTAATTTTAGGATAGGGGTCCACATTAGGGAGACAGATGGTATCAGCCATCTTTGACATGGTCTGACGAGAGGGCCCACCAAAATAGAGAGCGGCACTTGTGGATCAGGAAAGGCCAACCGACTCTGTTTGGGTCAGTATCAAATACAAATGTGTGGGCTATTCCTACCCGCAACCTTCATTTTCATCTCATCTCTTTTATTTTCACCATAGTAACTAAAGTCATTTCATACTATATACACCATTTTTAATAAGAAAATTCACTTTATATTTTGTCATAATTAGAATTTCATTCTCTATCTCATCTCATACACTCACAAAAATACTTTTTTAAGATAAATTTTTTCAGTGAAATATAAGTTAGTATTATTTGTCAATTTAATTCTATGTTTGATTTCATGTATATGAATTTTCATTATTTTTAATATGTTTTGATATCTCTGTCAAATTCAATAATTTTTTTATTTAGAATTTATATGTGTGTATATATATGTATACTTTTACATTATTTGTTCTTATCTTATTAAAATTTTACATCTATACTAGTTATTTTTCTTCTTATTCGATTTTGTCTCTGTACTTGAAGCTTGTTTTTTTTTTTCCATATTCAATTTTACGTCTTTTTTTTACTTGTTTCTTTAATTTTTGCTCTCTTTTTTTTCCTTCTTGTTTTGGTTTACTTATTTATTTCTTCTTTTTTTTTTATTTCATTATTTTCTTTTTTTGTTTCAGTGTGCTTCTGTCTTTTTTTTTTTTTTTCTTTTTTCTTGCTTCGTTCTTTCCCTTTTTTCTTGTCTTGGCATATATGTTTTCGTTTACTTATTTTGTTTTTCGGTTTTTTTTTCTTGTCTCGTAAATATATTTATGCATTCAAGTTAATTATCTTTTTTTATTATTTTTTTTTCTTAATGAGTCGAAAATTCAATTGTTACTTTTTTTTTCTCAATTAAATCCATATCCGTGAGTCCTTAAAATTTAATATCCAATCAATTTTCTGAGAAAATATAAGTCCAAAATCTGCTAATTCTTCGGCTATGTATACAAAAACTAGTTTCAATAATAATAAGATAATGGGTTAATTGCAGTTGTGATCCCCAAAGTATTCTTTTTGTCTAATTTTGGTCCCCAACCTTCTAATTGCATCAAGTTGGTCCCTATGTATTACATATGCACTTATCTAGTCCCCCGCCGTTAACGTCGGCCACAAAACTGACGGTTCATAGTCATGTGTCATCCACATGACCTAAGTGAAGGGCTTGTATGACATTTAACATCCATCCCTTTTCATTCCTGCCAACTGGGTTATAAGTTATATCACCCCATTGCCACATTTAGCATACATATCAACTAATGTGGTAATAATATATATCTGAGATTCAAAACCCAACTTTATCAAATAGCCATGCAACTACTTTCCCTCTACAGTAGCACCAACATCACTACAAGCATTGAACAGCCCAACAAGAGTGAATTCACTAGGCCTCATCCCAGAAAAATGCATATCCGAGAACATTTTCAATGCCTTCTCACCATCGCTACAAAGTGCATACCCAGTGATCATCACAGACCACGTAATAGAGTTCTTCTCACTCAAAAGCTCAAACATTTGCAGCGCGTAAGCTAAGCTTCCACACTTTGCATACAAGGTAACGACTGCATTTCCAACTGATAACAACCCATTTTTCACAGCAAGACAATGAATTTGTTTACCAATATCAATAAATTCTGGCAAGGTAACACCACTAAGAACACTAGTTACCATAAACTCATTCACATCTTCCTTTTCCAACCACGTCATCATCCTAAAAACCTCCAAAGCATAACCAGCAAACCGATGCATAGCATACCCAGAAATCATCGTAGCCCACGAAATCGAATTTCTCTCGGGCATTCTATCAAACAATTTACACACATCACAAATAAGGCCACATTTGCAGTACGTGTTTAACAAAGAACTATTCACAAATACATCGGAACAACAAGTTGTTTTGATGGCAAGTGGATGAGCTTGCTGGCCACAAAATGGGTCCATAAAAATCGATGCCGCAGAAAAAAATCTGGGGAAAGTATGGGCATCGGGAAAAGTATTCTCTTTCCGCATAAGCTTGAACAGTTTCATGACTAAGGATGAAGATTTGGGAGTCCCCAGCTGAGAGTAGCCATTGATGAGGTCGTTCCATGAGACTATGTCTTTAACTTCGATTTCTTCAAATACAAGGTGGGCTTCGGTTAAGTGGTGGGACTTGGCGTAGAAGTTGACGAGGCTATTGGAGATGTATATGCAAGAAGAAGTGCCGATCTTGATGATTTGGGCGTGGAGTGACTTGCCATTTGGGAGTTTTTTCTGGTGGGTGTATTGGAGGAGTTTGGCAAAGAAGGAATGAGTGGCTAGTGTCATCTACGAGTCCTTAGTTTCGGAGTTCATGAACGAGTCACAACCAAGAACTTCCCAAAGTTCAAACCTTGCAAGTAGAGGGAAGGAAACACAAGAATTTAGGGGAATGTTTCCTATGCTCTGTAACCGACAATGGCTCATAGACAATTGGTGGGAATGTTTCCCTAAGGAAAGGGATGGAGGGTAAATGTCATATAAGTCCTTCGCCTAGGTCATGCAGATGACACATGACTATAAACCATCAAATTTGTGGATGGCGTCAACGGCAAGGACTAAATAAGTGTATATCTAATACATGAGAGATCAACTTAATGCAATTAAAAGATTAGGGATTAAAATGAGACAAAAAGAATATTTTGGGGATCACAACTGCAATTAATCCTAAGATAATTGAAAAAATAAAACATTTCCTAATTCATCTATTTGATTAGATTGATCAAGAATACAATAAATGATGGATGAAATGAAAGTGGGATGAAATTAGTTTTAAATGAAATTATTCTAAATAATAAAGTAACATACAATTCAAATCTCAAAAGATAAATAAAATAACTTTTATTATTTGCGGTTGAGATCATTTTAAATTTTACTTTAAAGTAAATTTAATGACTAATATTAATACCCTAAATTTAATAGGAAAAATAGACCCCTAAGAATATGTTTTGAGTAACTTTTTAAAAGTACTTTTAAAAATTATTTCTCATTAATATATTTTTTTTAAAAATAGTGTTTGAAACCACTCCACCACCACCGCCACTGTCGTCGCCACTGCCGCCACCACCACCACCATTGCCGCCGCCACCACCACCATCACCGTCGTCGCCACCGTTGCCACCATCACCACCACCATCACTGCCACCACAATCATTGTCACCTACCACAACCTTCACCGTCTCTTACCATCACTACTGTCGCCCACCACCTCTTACCTCTACTACAAATCGATGTTTAAATTCATTTATTTCTTCTCTATGTTTGTGATTTGATTTTGGATATGAATACAAATATATTTATTGTTTACCATTTTTTATTACTTTGTGTTTTCTGGCACATACAATAACTAATAAATACATAATAGCTTATGACCTAACCCAAAATATAAGTCTTAAAAAAGCATAACGAAAGAACAAGAATCTGTGTAACAACCCCTATAGACAGGATAAAACTTTATGAAGTTGTTTTAAGTAATTAAAATATGATTCCGCCACATATCATAAATTCATCTTCACCTCGGATCCCAAACTTGCTCTTTCAAACAAGAAGAACAGGAAATACACTAGATAGCAGATCTGATCGCCAAGCAACCAAGCAGAGGCCTGATGTCACCATGTTGGGTTGCAAACTTGCAAACCCATCCAGCAATATTATGGGGATACTCAACAGAGAGGCTAGAGAAAGAGTGGGCTAGATAAAACGTCAATGTTTCTCGCCTTTTGAGGCACTGTTAAAAAACCTAACAAATACCAATCTTAAAAAAAAAAAAGGTTCTATTGAGATGCTGAAAGTAGTTGACAACACTGCTTCATGAACTTCCAATCAAGTCATGATTGAAAAGTAAAAACCGCTATAGAATTTAAACTACATGCCTCCCTGAACATTTGCTGTCCTACTTGAAATTGTCCTGGCTGGGAGCACCATTTACGGAAGAAATGACAAGGCTCCTTTTACAAAGTATGCGGCAAGATACTTCATCTCCTCCCTTAATGGTGGTGTAGGAGTGTGAATTAGATCACACTATGGAACCCAGCCGAGTCCAGAAGTACTGCTTTGATCTGCTCAGGCAGGACATCCTGGCCTTCCCTACATTGCTGATAAACACCAATCATCAATATCTAGATTACTATCCCCAAGAAAAGATACTAAAACCAAGCAAGCACCCATATGGAGATAAGGTTGCCACATACGGGAAGTCATATAGGGGCTGTTTGGACACAACAGTATCATTGGAATATTCCTTTCTGTTCTACAAGCCATTTCAATGAGTTGCAGTCTCTCACTACAACATTGGAAATGAATTCACTTTGCAGCATGCGTGGTACATGGAATTTCAATGCCTAATGTTTCACAACCCCGTTTGAAATACTTCCAATTTACATGGTTTCAAATCTGAAGAGATAGTCATTCAAATTCTCCACTAGGTCCCACGACTAATCCTTGTATCAGTTATTGATAAAATTATTCAAAACCCTATGAGAAAAGAGTGAGTCACCTTCTATGCCGCTTCATTTTAGTGGCAAGTACAGTTCATTGTGCTTAGCCAAATTGAAGCCTAGAAACCCTAAATTTGGACTAGAGGTTAACAGGCGCATATCTTAGCACTAGATGTTATGTTTATATGCATGGGTTTTGTTTTTGTCGCTTAACACTAGGCTAGTGTTTATCACTATATACATTCACCCTTATAGGGTTACGTTAGGAGTAGGGTCCACTATAGCTAGGGAAGGTAAAATTGTGAGATTATCTGGAATTTTGGATGCTCTAAAATACCTCTTACCAAGCCAAGACAATTAAAGTAAAAAGTAAAAAATAAAAAAATTTGACCCCATTGGAAGTTGGAACAGTCCAATTCTTTAATTGGCGTCATAATTTTGCCTGACTACTTTCCAAAGAAAGGGGATCAGAAAGGATTAGCCATAGGCGTTTGGTCCAGTGACGAGAATGGATTAGTGAATTAAGGAAACTCCTTATGGTAAATGTCTGAAAAAATTCACGTTCTCAGCTTCAAGACCACACTTAAAATATTTCAGTGTGTCAGATGAGATTTCTAAAAATATTACTGATCTTCTACCTATTTTCTTAACAGTCAGGATATGGTTTCTATGGAAGCATATTGAACTTGAAGGACGAATCAGGAAATAGGAACCTTACCTCAGCTCGGAATACATCCAAAGCAAAGCCATTGAAACAGCTTATAACAGCTTGCTGAATGTCAAGCCCAAGGCTGTCCAGGGCTCTCATAGTGGAGAGCAAGAGACCAGGTCTGCGGGCACAAAACATGTGGATGTTGACAGCCCTCCCTTCTCTTACTCTTACTTCCACCTACAAAAGGCAGAAAATCAGAAATTGTGATTCAAAAGCAAGAAGGGAAGAAGCGGGGGGGGGGGGGGGGACTTCCTTTAACAGATAAGTCAATTCTAGAATGCAATTACAAGTCGAAAAACCAACAATTCGCTACAGAACATGTATGCAAGGAGAGGTAGTCCAACGGATCAAAAACCATGGGCTCTATCTCCAAGGCGCTGAGCTTGATAATGGATCATATCACCAAGTTCATAAATGGAAGTATCCAATTCAAACAGGGACCATTACTGGCCATTCCAAGTCGATCAGCTGGGTCCCCCAATGTCTAGTACCTGAACTACACATCTTGGGCTAACCAAGTTGAAACTTGAATGAATGTCACCTTCAGGGAGAAATTAGCAAATCATAACAATGTATTCTTACCTGTCTAGTACCAAACTGGAAGAATCCAAATTACGTAAGTTTTTGCCATGTTGGGCATCAATATTTGTGTGTCAAACAACCATGGGAGAGAACTGTCAAGTTGGAATTCTTTTGCTTTAGGTCGTGATGGTGATACCGCAATCGAGCCAATGTTGTTAATGGTGATAGCAGGTCCAGTTTTTGTTACTAATTAGGTTGTGACAAGTCCAAATTACATAAATTATGTTTTTTGTTACTAATAAGATGGTGACACATCCAAGTAACATAAGTTATAAACAGATTTTACGAAATTCAGAGCAATCAATAAACAATGAATTCTAAATATGCCAATCCAACACCAAATGTAAAATCAGAAGGTAGAAACTCATAGAAGAGAATGTTCATAAGCAATCAACTCAATCAAAAGCCAAGTTCCTTCTATCCGTTTCTAGCACATAGATTAATTAAATTACCCTTGCAGGTTGGTTATTGGGGCTTGGCAATGAGCTTGGGCATAGTTCTTCCTTCACGCGGTATGGGAGGGTAGGGGGAGTGGGCGTCAATGGATGGAAGCTTATTGTAGGCGACTGCAAAGAGCCTGGTGGGGTTGCCTCGAGTTCATTGTGTAGATCACTGATTCTTTGTAGAAGCTCCTTCAAGTACTCAATTGCATCCCCAAGAATTGAAGCTCTATCCATCTGCACACGTTATGGAAATGATCAGGTTGCGTTATGACTGTCACTTGTGTTAGAGCATGCTGACTTAAAACTAATTAGGAATGAGTAGAGAGGCTCTTTATCTACATAAACCAATCTTGGATGGTCGTAGCCATTCGATGTGGAATACAAGTTCCCATTGCACCTTTTCCAGTCAGGCTCGCACGTGATACTAACAAACAAAACAACAAACATGCACATTAAGAAACTCTTATGGGTAAGAGGCAAGGTTGATTGACCACCAGAAGCCTAGTTTTGATATGAGGTTAGAGCATCCAACCCAAAACCATAATGAGTGAAGAGGTCATTTGACCATATAAATCAACCTCAAATGATCATAATCATTCCAGATGGGATAAAAACTCTACAACATATTGCTCAGCAGGGTTTAAATTTTGTGTCAAAAGTCGTAAAATTTGCCATGAAAATTTGAATGTTAGCTTTTCTCGAGGGGGAAAGGGACAACTATTTGCTGGTCCAGTAAATCTCTTAAAATTCTTCTGAGCTCTGAAATAAGGGGATAATTTCACCCAAGGTAACACATCAGAATATCATATTCAATTCAAAATAAGAGAAGGGAGGGATGGCTGATCATGGCTATTGCTAGAAAAGATGTGGGAGAAACAGAGTACGAAAAAAATGAGAACTCTATTAAATAAAAAGCCAGTGCTAAACCTAGAACGTGAACTTCTCGAAGATACTATAAAGAAGCAACTGTGAAAGAACTTTGTTAGAATAATTGAACAAAGAATATGGTGTGCTGAATGGTATTATACCTTGCTGATCTTGGGGACGACAGATCTAAGCATGTAAAGCCTATCATTGAGCTTCTTCCTCCGACGCCTTTCGGCCATCAAATTCTTTGCCGGTAACCCCTTCTTCTTTCCTTTGTCATCTCCAACTGTGATAGTGCTATTTGCATTCGAATTAGTTCCTCCATTGTTCAGACTCTCGTCAGCCTTCCTATCCTCAGTCGGCTCATCAGAGTCATAATTCAGACCCGAACCATCGAAGTTCAAACAATCAACATCATCCTCACTGTTCCTCTTCCTCTTCCTCTCCGATTCCCCCACAGCCTCCCTCTTTCCCCAATCCCCACAGATCTCATCACCTCTCGAACTCGAAAGCCCTAAATTCCACAATGTATTGGCTCCACCAGAGTTTTGTCGTAACGCAGCTCTCTTCTGAAAGAGAGTGGGCTGTGCTCCAACTGGCGGTAAAGCTTCAAGTGGCCTCAAAACCTTAGACCTGTTTGGAAACAGAGCATTCACGGAACCCTCGAGACCTTCGAAACCAATCGGAGTAAAACCGCTTTCAATGGAGGCGTTGTTGTCTGGTATCGGCAGCAAACGGTTGGCCGCAAACTCAGAACTCGAACTGAATTCGGGGCTGCACAACTGAGTTTGCGAACTCAGACCATTGAAACCCATTAAAACAGGGGAATTCGAACTCTGATTTGCTAAAATGTTGGTTTCATAGCCCAAATCGAAGCTATTGTCAAAGTGGTTGTTGGATAGAACATTAAAGAGCGACGAGAAGCAAGATTTCGGGGGCAAGAAGGAGTGTATCTGAGATGGGTCGAGAGTGAACACCTGTGACGGTGAACAGGACGAAGATGAGTCCATTGGTTGTAGCAATAGATTATCAGTGGGAACCGTTGAGTTTGAACAGAAGCGCATGTTTATGTCCTTGAATTCTGGGTGGGTAGGGATGGTTTGCAGGTCATGAGGAGATTGGTTCATACCATTGTTCATATACCAGTCATTGTCGAGCATCGATTTGAAGGTCGAGAGAGAGGCATTCATGTCATCGTCTTTACACGTGTCTCCTTTGTTGTTTCTCGTCCATGAAACTGCGTCCTCTTCTTCTCCTTCCATCCAAAAAACGCCGTTGGACCTCGGTAGCATTACTTGGTCTCTCTTCTGCTATCCTTTTTTCCCAGAGAGAGAGAGAGAGAGAGAGAGAGGTGAAGAGGTAGTAAAAAGAGGAGGAGCTTTTCAGAGTAGTAATTTGAGAGAGAAGGGAGAGAGAGATTCGAAGTTTGAACGTTATACCACTGTTTGTGTGGAGTCGGTAAATAGA